GTAGTAGTAGTAGTAGTCGTGGGTAGTAGTCGTGGTAGTAGTCGTGGTAGTAGTAGTGGTAGTAGTAGTAGTAGTAGTAGTAGTAGTAGTCGTGGTCGTAGGAGTAGAAATAGTAGTAGTAGTAGTAGTAGTAGTAGTGGTAGTAGTAGTAGTAATAGTAGTAATAAGAGTAGTAGCAGTAGCAGCAGCAGTAGCAGTGGTAGTACGTGGTAGCTGTTGTTGTACGGGCAGTAGTAAAAAATATGAATAGTTTTTTGTTTGGGAACAGGCTGCGCGGTAAATTCTGGGTGCGAGGTCCCTTCTCATCGTTCTGACTTGCCCACCCTTCCTGAGGCCTGTCCCACCATTGCTCACTCTGATCTTCTCCTGTGTTTCGACAGGACTCACGGCTTCGTGATCAGGGCCAAGTCTCAAAGCAGAGTTTGCTCCGGAGAACAGGAACTGCACCCATGCTGCTGCCAGAACAGCTATCCATCTCTTTGCAGCCGCTGACCAAAGACCTGTATCGTCCTGGCACATGGGGGCAGCTGCCGGCAGTTCAGTCCCGAAGTTAACGTTTTCGCCAGCTTGCATCGACCTCGGAGCTGTCATCCGAGTCCAGCTCGGATGACTTTTCCACTGGCCTTTGCGGCGCCTGGACTGGAGTTTTGGTGACAAATCATACCACGATGAACGAAGATTACAAGCGCAGCTCCTTGCCTGGCTCGCTGCCAGGAAAGCCAAAGGCGGAGCAGCACACAAAGCAACGAAACCATATTCTGCGACAGGGTCGCCCTGCATCCGCCTGCACATGGGCCGAACGACAGGAGCACCAAACCTCTCGGCTAATCTATCTACGTATATAGTTGGACAACTAACTGGAAGCGAATCAAGTACCCGCAGCGCCGCATACAGGCTTAGAGCTGCAGCGTTTTCGGGCACAGTCATTTCTAGTCACAAGTCGCAACTCAGGTTCCCAACTCGCGCAGCAATAACGTTTTGTCGTCCTGTTCGCAGCCAGGACGCAGCAGCTTGAAAGCCAACGGAAGCACCGCACTGGTCATGCCGAAGGCCCCGTTGCACAGTGCCAGTATCGGGCCAACCTGAACACCGGCAGCAGCAGAAACGTGGAGAAAACACGGGCCGAATCTCCCTGTCGGCCTCTTTCCCTGGAAAGCTCCAGCAAGCTGCTGAAACGGTAAAGGAGACCAGGGCAGAGCCACAGCAGCCCAGCAAAACAAAATTGGCGGACCTCAGCACCAGTTTGCGAGAGGCATCTTACTCGACCTCTTTGTCCTCTTCTGTCGCGAAAACACATGTGACCGGGCACTCGGGAGAAACGTGCGCGCTTCCAGATCAACTCGACATCCCCTGCTTTTGGCATCGTCACCATACTATAGTCACTATGGGAGGTCACAGAACAACAGTTAATGCCTGCATCTCAGTCCTTACCCCCGTCCTTTCGTTGAGGTGTTGACGAGCTTCTCCCTCGCTTCTTCCTCCAGCCGGAACGGCACTATGCGGTACCAGCCCGCACGGAACCCCGCACTGGCGCAAACTTTCGCTTGGGCCTGTTTGCGGGCGTGCAGCCCACAGGCAGGCAGCCTGCAACAGCTCAGAAGCGGCCAGGCCGGTATGGAATGATTATATATAGGCCGAGGCGGGCCCGGCCCGTGCCCGCAAGCAGCCCGCACCGACAGAGCTTTCCTCCTAGAATTAGAAGTTGGGCCGGTGCGGGCTGGCTGCCCGCACCGCAATGGAAAGAGTCCTGCACTTGGCCCGAGGCGGGCACGGCGGGGAGGACGCAGGGAGCAAAGCCCGCACCGGCAGAGCTTTCGGCGGCTGCTGGCAGGGACCTGCACCAGCCTAGAATTAGAAGTTGGGCCGGTGCGGGCTGCCTGCCCGCACCGCAATGGAATCCTGAAAATCCTGCCCGCGTCAGCATAGACTGCTCTTGGCGGGGGCGGGGACGGCGGGGAGCAAAGCCCGCACCGGCAGAGCTTTCGGCGGGTGCTGGCAAGCACCTGCACCAGCCTAGAATTACTTGTAGAAGTTGGGCCGGTGCGGGCTGCGGGCTGGCTGCCCGCACCGCAATGAGAATCCTGCCCGCGTCAGCATAGAATCATTGCACTTGGCCGGGGGCGGGGACGGTGGGGAGCAAAGCCCGTACCGACAGAGCTTTCGGCGGGTGCTGGCAGGCACCTGCTGCCTGGCACAGGCGCTGACCGGCATGGAAGCATTGGGCACAGGAAAGCTCGGCGCTACCCCCTCTTCGCAGGCCGTGGATTTAAGTTTCTTGGAGGTCGCTCCCTCACTTTGACGGTGGCCGTCCCCTTGCTTGAGCCACACTCTTCTTCCTTTCGTTGTCCCATGCCATGAGGCATGAGATTGGCATGAATTTCTCTCGCTGTCTCCCTATCTCTGACCCAAACATCCGGGATCCTATACTCTCCCATCCTGCACGCTCTTCTCATGCAGCTCCACAAATAAACATCGAAGATGCAGAATGTGAAGGCTGGCAGAGGATGCCGCAAAGGGAATCGCCACTACAGTCAAGGCGGAGCTGCCTTAATTGCACAAGTCGCAGTCTGCCGCTCCGTACAAAGGTGGTTCTCTCTACTTATGGCAGGCCGCCGATGCAGCAGCACATAGCGATTTTGATTGGGCAAACATCGCACAGCCAGCCACCAAGCATTGTGCCTCGACTGGGCTCGTGGTCTATGGATAGGCCAACTTTGCAGTTCTGCAGCCCTGGGGATGCGGCCGAAGACAGCTCCGACCGCGCGTCCAAGAAAAAGGCCGTGAAGCTGCAAGCCATTTTGTAAGTCCATCCGCTTCGCCAAATCATTCAGCGTAAGGCCGACAATCACCGTCTTAGCATCAGCCAGAACTCGGTCTCGTCCATGTATTAAATGCAGACGCAGAGTACTGCATCCAAGCGTCGGTGAGGGATTGATATGCTATCCTTGGGACAAGCTGTGCATGAGTATGCAGTTTGGTGGGCAAGCGGGTAAAGTAAGTTGAGGCTTTGCGGGAGCTCTTCGAGAAGGTTGTTGCCAGACATCGGTAAACTTTAGACCACTTCCTGCTAACTGCTACTTCTGAGGGTGGTGCAGGGAAAGAGAAGATAGCGAACTACTAGACTACGGAGTGCAAGCATCCGCCCGACAGGGCAATTGAAGCCTACAGTGTTAGAGCAGGTGGGCAATTCCGGCAAGCAATGCAGGCAGCATTATCACACTTTGCCGCAGTCAGCATGTCGCACGGTGTCACGCAAGCGGCGCGCCCGAGTGTGGCTCCAAACAAGCCAAATTTCAGGATTCTACAATGTTATGACAGTTATGCCTGAGCTTCACGAAACGGGCGGGCGGTTGGGAACATGTGAAGCACAGACTTCTGCCATGCTAGCAGGTGGCGGCATGCTTCATGATTAGGCGACACTGTACGTGCATTTCATGCCAGCAAGCAACCCATGCCATACAGCACCGCCTGTACATGTGAAAGGGGGGGGGTCTGTCAAGACCAGCCGCACTGGAACACTCCACGCGCCGTCCTCCCCTCCTCGACGTCGCGGAGGTCGTGGTATTCGTCGTCGCCGTTCGGTGAGGAGTCGCAGTCGCATCTTCGGCGGCGGTAGTCATGGTTGTTGTGGAAGTAGGCGGTCGTCGTCGTGTTGGCATCGGAAGCTCGTGTGTTAAAGCACTGCATTGCAATGGCATCGGTAGTCTGCTGGGGAAACCACCGAGCAACCAGCAAATTACAGAGTGAGCACGAAGTAAGACATAGCGAGAGCATAGATAGATGCAGCTGAATGTCACTGTCACACATGTCCATGCACGGATCTTTGATCTGACGCTGAAGCTTCGATAGAGGCGTGGTTGCCCTACCGACATGACGCCCATGGCTGGGCTGCTCCGAAACAGATCGTCTTTTATGACTCAGGATTCGAATCTGTGCGACATCTGAAGGGGCTGCGGCAGCACCCTTTGTTTCAGGATGCCGACAAAGAGTTCGACACATTACTCATGCTTACTGACGTGCTGTCGGCTTGAGGCAGCTTCAGGACCACAACGGCAGCGGGAAGCAAGAGCTTTCCATCCTGCACCCCAAACAAAGCAAAGACTCACAGGGCCGTGGCTGCGAAGTGGATTGGCGCGACATCAACCTGCCCCAGAACTACAAATCGCAAGTGTCTGGGACAAGCCCTGAAGAACTCGCTAAAGAGCTCGAAAGAACTGTAAAGAGTCTGTCAGAAACGCACTTCGGCTCCGGGCCCCGCGGCCTCGCCTCGTCTTCAACGAGGCGGTCTTTCGTCGCGCGGCTCCGGAGGCAGGCCGCTCCATCAGCAAGGTCACGCTCCGCAGAGACCTCCGGGAGCCAGCAGCGCATTCTCCCCTCACTCTGCGCTGAGATCTCGGCGTGCGGATGACTTTCGCCGTCTCCGCCGCGTTGCCAACCTTCGCTTGCGGTCGAAGGACTCGAAGGGTGCACTGGTCGAGCTCTGGAGGCGGGTCCAGTGCACGGTGACGATCTGGGTGTTGGTGGAGAGCGAGAGCGGAGGGTGAGGCCGAAGGTGAGAGTGGATGGTGAGGACGAGGGCTGCCGAAAAATCTGTTTCTTTACACCGAGAGCTCTGAGGCTTCGAGCTGTCATGTTTCTGACGCCGCTTCGACGGTAGCCTGATCTTTGCCGAGTAAGCAGTCGCCAGTGCTTCAGGGCAGCTGGCCAGAAGTCAAGCCTAGTATCAGGTCACCGGTCTCGATTCCTGCTGCAGTGGCCACCTAAGCTGTTGTGGCTTCAACAAAACTTCATCGCCTTCACTCGTCTAAACCTCCGTTCATCTGTGGCATTGGCGTTGTCAGTCGACCAAACCACCAGCCTTGCAGGCACAGTAGCTTCCAGCCATGTGGATCGTCCAGGCGCTGAGAGCAAGGCGATCCACAACCCGCAGCTGCTGGTCGAACCACGAAATGCTTGTGCAACGTTGGCCTTGGCGATCTGTCGAGTGAGGAAAGAAGTTCAGGACTCAGGGCATTATTTTTGATGAGTCGGCTCGATCTCCAGCTCCCACTGCCGCTGCAACGGGTCGCCTTGGAAGCGGCGAAGCATCTGCATGATGCTGCAGATAACGTTTGTTGGCTGTGCCGGTACGCATTGCTGCACAAGGCACCCTCTTCTGCCGCTGGGCTCGTTCGGGAGCTCTGCCTTCCAAAGCCCGAAACTAGCAAAATGCCGTGTTCTCTTCCAGCACTCTTAGTAGCACTATACCTGGAAGGACATGGGCATACCCAAACCTCTCGAAACACTGCCTCGGCTGCGGATACAAGATACGGAAGGTCAGCATCCTCAGCCAGTGCAGGATTGCCGGGTGTACTGGTGTTGAGACTAGTTCTTGATAGAAATCTCAGGGGCCGGTGCTTGTGATGGTCCACAGTCAGCTGACGAGTACGGCCACGTCCGATGATGCTGTCCGAGCTAGCCTCCCCGCGCTCTCAACACGAAGTTTGTCACGCAGCCTGCCAGCCTCCGAGCTCTCACCTTTTCCGTCCGCCTTGTCCAGCAACATCATGCAGCCGTTGTCTTTCAGGACCGTGTGGCACTGCTGCAGCATCCGCCGAATCGAACCAGCAGCATCCGTCCTGCAACAGTCCGACAAGTCGCACTGTCCGCTACAGAAGACTCGACTGGAAATATCTTGCGGAGTTCACCATAATATATAACTCCATTCGGAGACAGGAAACCCGCAACCCGGTCCTGGTCAAAAAGCAATCAATAAGTGTCTTGCCAACGATGGCATCAAAATAGCCGGCATCGAAGCGATCCGCAAGTTGTAAAGCCTTGCCATGGTGTCTACACTGCCTGCACATGGGAGGCCCAAGCGACTTGTCGAGTAGGACCAAGGCATCCCAGCATTCCCACTGGATGTCTGGATGACGCATCCTGTTGGCGTTGATCACCTCTCCGACGGGTCAAAGCTACGTGGCGATCCATGGGCTTCATCGGAAGCCTCCTGGGAGAAGTCCACTCCGATCACTGTGACCTCCATTGCAGCAAGGTGGCACAGCACATGAATTCCGCCCGAGATGCCGACTCCGGCATCACGCAGCATTGGGGCCAGATGCGAGCACCCACACCCAAGCTCGCAAACTCGCAGAGGCTCCTCCTGAGCACACATCTTAATGCAGAGAAGCGGTCTGTGGCGGAGATGTGTGCTCTGACCTGATACCACCTGCTAGGCTTCCGGCTGCCTTTGGTAGTCCCTTCAGGACCTGAGCACAGATCTTTGCACGGCAGTCACAAGCATGGTGGCGACTTGAACCAACTCCCTGAGGCCTCCGTGATTGCCTGTAGGACCTGCAGTGACTCGCGGAAACCAACAATGCAAATGTCAAGAGCATGCCTGCCCAACTCTGGCAACAGATACCGCCACTAGCCGAAGCTTGAGGCCAGATGCAATGTCATTTACTGGACCACTCCACTCCACCGCTTCCCCGTGCTTTCGATACCACCTGCGGCAGCATATTCGAACCTTTTCGAACAAAGACTTGAGAACACCAGGAGTCGGGATACGTCTGAGCACTATGCTGGTCCCAGAAAGTTCGGGTTTCGTAGCGCCGGCGCGGTGTCTCGCTGCCAGGCCGGGTGGTCGAGGTCCCTGTGCTTCCTGAAAAGGATCGGGAAAACTACGGGCCCTCACCGACCCTCACAACGGAAGAACCTGCCTTTGCTGCTGCTGCGGCTTTGGCGGAGCTTTGTCATGGCCGGGTTTGGCAAAGTTGTTTTGCCTATCCTCATGCTGATGTCTATTCCAACACTTATGTGGCTGTACATCCTGCAATCCCATGTGGTCTGCACGATGTCGCAGTTTGCGGCGCGAGCATCTGTGCCCCGTACTGGTGCCCAAGCCAGATGCTACACGTCTTTGAGCCAGCACCCACGCACCCCAAGAGTGCCACTTACAGATGATGCTGGACACCCTCAAAACCGATGCCTGATGCCACTGCACTGCGTTTTTGGAACCCGTAGGGGTGGTGCAACTTTTCGACGTTTTCTGCCGGTCGTCTGAACATCAGCCGGTATTACTATACCTGTGACCCTCCAATAAACCCAGCGACTGATGGGACTCTCTCACCTCCCAACCCTCAAGCCATGAGGTTTCATGCCGAGGTGCTGCAATCTCTGCTTGTCAGTGAGACACGGTTTTATTCCCGGATGAAAATGGCGGTGATGAAATTAGGGAGCATGTTTCTTTCCGCCGTAGCAGGATCCTCAACCGCTGGTGATGACATGAACTGGTGGTCAGACCTCTGGTTGAGAGCAATGCCAGCTATGGTGACGATTTGCAGTGGACCGGTTGCGACTGAGAAGCACGCGCCCCCTGATCAGGCAATTGCGACTTGTGCCGACTCGTGACAGGAGGCATCGAAATCCTAAGGCATCGAAGGTCTAAGGAGTCCAATGACTGACTGTATACGTATACGCCATAGCAAGCATCCCGGCAGCAGAAGGTGAGATTTTAGGGCGGCAGGTGAGCACGAGGCTCTGAAGCTGAAAGATCGATTTCCATATTCATCAGCAGTTCTGCGTGAGGGCATTTGTTGCTTGTGACACTTGTGCTGTATTGTGAGCCGGACAGGCTCATGTTAAGAATTTCAATATTCAACGCCGGTTTTGACTTAAGTCACTCCCAGAAAGAGGGCCAACAGTCGAGTCTCTTTAACGCGGTTTCCAGCAAACAGACAATTCTGCAGCTGAGACATCAAAGTAGGCTCGCAAGAGCTAAAGGCGGGACCTCTGCCTACGGGTGGCGTTGGGCCCCGTGAGCACATTGAGTGCAATGTCCAAACAAAGTTCCCGCCCCTTGATGTCGGGCACCGTGCCCGTGTTCAAAACACACAGCAACCCTCAAACCAGCTTTGTCTGCGGGCGCTTGAGACCATGCACTTGAAGGCATGTGGGCAGCGCTTCGCGCCCCTTGGACTACTCAAGAGCCCGAAGGGTCGCGTCAGCCGCTGTTCCAGGCGACTCTTCCGGAAGCTTTCGGCAGTGCTGAACTCAGGATCGGATTGACATTGACGACTGATAGCAACTTAGCAACTTTGGCCAGAAACACGGAATCTGCTGGCTGGCCTCAGGGGCATGTAAACTTTCAGAAGCATCCTGCCAGGGTTTGCTGAGGGCAAGGCCCGTCAATGCAGGGACCTAAGCTGACTCCCACGCGTCTGATATTCCAGGCTGATCTTGTGCGCATGGCAACAGACAGGTTCTACTTCAATCTTCGGACGCGTGCTGTGTCAGCGTCTGCTTGAGCTGCGCAGTCAGCGCCTTGCCACTCTTGGAGCGCTGCCCGGGAATCAAGCATCAAGCTAGGTCTAATTCGTCATATATCATCATATGAACTTTCTCGGAATCTCAGCACTGCGCGCGACGCATGGCAATGGCAGCTTCCTGTGGACAGAGCAGACTCTGCGGATAAGAACAAACCGATGAGTTTTCAAGAAGAGAGAAGCAGTAGATGTCAGAGAAGGCCAACGGAAGATCAAATTCCAGGCTGGGCCGGGGACCACTGCACCACCCTAAGAGGTCACCGCGGATAGACAGGCCAAGAACCAGACCGCACACAACATGGAGACGGAGAGAGAGTGAGAGAGGGAGAGAGAGAGACCGAGCAAGACGGCGAGCGGGAGTTTCCTTCCGCAAAATTGTGCCTCAGGGTTTGCCTGGGGCCCATCCGGCTCCACCTTGGCAATTCATACGACATTCACTTACAGTTCTCTGCATTGGCGAAGCAGCTGCAGTTCACAAAGACCTGGTTCTAGTTCGGGAATCTTGCCCTCCGTTCCAGCTTGAGCTGCACTACCTCTTGCCGAGAACCGGACGTTCCCTCGTAGTTCGTCAGCAAGCTTCTTGCCTCGAGCTACAGTAAGGGCGCGAAACCCAGGACATCTCACAAGCACCACCTGCGTCCTCTGGCAGGGCAGGCTGACCTGCACCTGCTCAGTGCAATAAGCCGGCTAGAAAGGCGCTTGGCTCGGACATGAGTGCCAGACATGCCCTCTCCGCAGCGCGAGCCGCTGTGGAGTGGCCGTTCAGCTCGGTGAAACGACTCAGCCTCGAAGCGTCACGGCTGCGACATATTCGATACATTCTGTCTATGAATTTCATTGCTGAGAGGCCCCTTGGGCCACCGGGGCCAGCCTCTGCCTTCCCAAGCTCCCAGCTCCGACTCCCTTTCAAGTCTCTTCTTTTCCATGAGGGCTTCTCCTTACCAGCGCTTGAAAACTCCCAGTGCCGTGACTGAACTGGAGTCTCCGAGTCGGCAGAGGTTGCGGCGCCGCTGTCTCAGATGCTCGGCCCTCGCTCTTCGCTCTTCCTTCCATGCATGACACTGATCCACGAGAGGCCATCGCACTCTGTGCTGCAGGCCTCGGAGGGCTGTTGTGGATTTCGGTTCAGCTCCGCTTGCCGACCTGGCTATAGGCCCATCAACTGGTACAGCATACTGCTGCTAGGTCTTTAAATGACGCCGCTTTTGCAACAGGCACGCATCTCTTCCTTTGGCGGAGTCGAGCGCCGGAGTTCGGCGCGGAGGATCGTAAAGCCGCCGCAAGCAACGCTTTGTCGCTTTGTGGCATTTGGTACTGATCCTTCACAGCTTTTTCATGCCGGCTTGTGCAGCATTCTGGCTCTCTCACACCTCCTCAAGCTTCAGTCCGAATCCATGGCTGGGCAACGACCTGCGCAAGCAGACAAGAGAAACCTGTTCATTACATGGTGGTTGGCACAAGGTGTTTGCCAGGACCTAGGAATGACTTGGACTTCAAAGTTTCTGGTTGACTTGCCGCAGGAGAAGGAGCCATTCCATGAATGAAAGTGGGAATACTTTCTAGATTCCAGACATTCGGGCTCTTGGAGCCCAAACCTGCCCTTCACGCCTCAGAGTGGGGCTTGGCGAGCATCTCAGACAGCTTTGCCAGCCCAGTCCTGCCATCAAACGGACATGGATGGGCACGCCGGGAGGAAGAAAAAACAGTCTCACTTGTTTTCGCAGGCGATCCTTTTCAAACATCTTGGTTCCGCGTTCCAGGTACTTCATCACACCAGCCGCACCCAACAGGATGCAACCAGCTACAATCCTCCCGGGCAGCAGCTGCACTCGTACCCAGAAGCCTGCCGCCAACCTCCATGTCTAGCTTGTCGAACAGTGAGCTAGGCCACTTACATAAGGGTTGCTCAGGCCAGGGAGCATCAGGATGCACAAGCACAGGCCGACGAATGCCTCAGATCTGACAGACGAGTGACTAGACTTTTTGAATGGCATGCTCCAGCGGCTGAAGATCGTATGTCGTATGCTTTCCAAAACAGTCCCCCATGTACGGTCGTGAAACTCGTCAATACCACAGCTCCGTTGTCTTATCCAAGTCACAGTGGTTTGGACAAGCTGATCTTGCTCAGAAGCTGCCATAGGAATGCTGCATCAGGACCCACAAGGAAGGTAGCCGACTCTGGTTTCCGACAACTGCTGTTCTTCGAGCCACACACCGCAAATCATGATTGTTGCGTTTGATGCCACATACAGCACTGGGCAGTCTTCATGTGTGCTGGGTTGTCAAGTTCCTGCGATGAATGCAAGGCAACGCAGTACATGTAACTCAGGGCTCCGGCGGGCGGCGCTTGCCTGTGCAACCGCGTTTTGAGCACGTTCCTGCTGCTCAGCTGCCTCCCCGCAAGGGCATGTGCAAAGCCTTCTAGTCTTTGTTTGGCTCCGAGTTCCGGGCATCCAAACGTCGTCTCTCTTCCTTCTCATCACTACGCTGGGTTTCCGAACACACGTCACAGCTTCGTCTTGAACTCTCGGCTTGAGTGCAAAGCCGCATATGGATCTTCTTCCTGAGTGATGGGTGAAGCTCCTTCATGAAGGATGCATTCAACTACAGCACCTTGTGTTTCAAAGCCACACACGATAAGCCTATGCCGCCATCGAGTAGAGGCTGAATCTGGAGAGTTGGCGGTAAGCTGAACTGCTCCTTCAGTGCAGTAGCACTTCATCTTTCAGTGGACCTGTGTCTGACGTCTTGGGTTGGGGGCAATCCTGCTGCTGCTGGATCATCTGCGCTGCAGCAAGTGCTGCCTGCTGTGCAGCTTCAGCCTCCGCCTGAAAGAACAAGTTGTGCTCGAGCGTAGAAGTATGTATACATATTATATACATATATATGTTATAGGCTCATGACTCCGCAATGTATGCGCGTCTAGTTGTCCCTTAGTGCGATGTTTGTGCCCTACGATAGAAAGATTAAGCTGCAAGAAGCGATTTTACTCAGGTCAGACCCGCGATGCGACCGAAAAGCCGGTTTTTATGGGGTAGGTAAGGGCTGCCTGCCAGAAATTACACGCGAAGGTCGCAAGTTTCAGGAACTTGGCAGGCACAGGGCTTAACTCGACCAGCAAGTGCTGAGACGTCTCTCTTGATTGCTTCTGTGGCTCGGCATGTGACTCTCTGAACGTGTCTGTGTGTTAGTGCGCATTGATGTACAAGTGCTAACACGTATGCAGCCACACACGGAAATAGTAGAGAAGGATCTGTGCAACATCTAGGACCTAGGAAAACCATATCTTTGCATTGATTGTACTATTGCAGATAATGCGCAACAGCCAATTCGTTTCCCGATTCTTGTAGATATGCATGCGAATGACGCTTGGCAGCGCCTCGAAAGTTTCCCTATCTAGGCAAGAGGGGCTGCAGTGCACAAGAAGCCCGAATCTGCATGGTGAGATTCGACGCGAAGAAAGCCTTGACCAGGCTTGACCTCTATTGACCCTTCCGTCAAATTTCCGGGCCTGGCCTGGGCGGACATGCTTTCGGCATGTGCGCTGAGTTGAGCCTCATTGAGGCAAAGGCCAAGCTCGAAGGTTCAGGCTGCCACTGGCGAACGAAAGCACATCGTGCTGTGTACGAACGCGTAGTGATAATGCATAGGGTCTTGCAGAGCATGCAGAGCGTAAAGGCGGGGTGCATCCACTCTTCGCACCTTTTGTCCCACTTCGCTTGCCCTTGCCTTTGCCCTTGCCCCTCCAACCAGACTGGTCCGACCTGTCCATGCAATGAATCTTCTGCATGCACCTGCTATAAGTCTATGTCTATAAGTGCATGCTAGTGTGAACAAGCAGCTGCGTTCAGTCATCGCCTCCATCGAAGGTCAGAAGAAACCGTTGTCACATTCTGTTGACAACGACGTTCTTCTGCATCGAACCGTGCACAGGCAGCGAGAGCAGCCTGCCAAGCCTGCTTCACTCTCGTCTGGAGCATCACAACACTATGTTGGCTAGTTCGGATTCTCCCTTCCTCGTTCTCAGTGCCGTTCCGTGACACCACGGGCGATTTCGTCAGAGCAGCTTTGTGTTGTTGGAGTTCCCACTCGCTCAGGCTGCGAAGCTCTCCTCAGCAGGCGATCCAAGCGTGTCCAACGTTTGCTCTTTGAAGCACTTCGTCCTCTGACTTCCCGTTGCATTAGATCTTCTGCGGTTCTTGCGCATGCAAGAACCCTACTCATCCTGCTTGTTTCCCTTTGAAAACGCATACTGTAGTTGCTTGCTTGGTGACTTCTTAGGATCATCATGCTTGCGAAGCAGCTAAGGGCTCCGATGTCTTCCTCCAGCTGAGGACCTACTAAGTCCCACCTGGCCACGGCACGCTTCTGAAATCGGTTGCGAGGCAGCGCAGCTGAACTTGATGACAACACGGGCTGCTGTGCCTAATTCCCGACGGCTTGCTGGCAATCCGATTGCAATGCACGAGACCGCTTGGAGTTGCAAAGGCATCCACCGGCAAGTCGTGGCTCTCCATCCTTAGTGCAGTGGCAAAGAAACCCCGCCCTCTCTGAATTCTCCGGAAGGACTATTAAATACTCTGATGAGACTCATATCTGCGTTGAGCTGAGCAGGCTCCACCACTTGCAAGTCGTGGCATATGCTGAACCTTGGTCTGGCATCTAAGCAGAGTTGCTTTTCAGAATGTGTGCAGTCAAAAGGCACAGGTGTTGCGTCGGGATCCGCTGCACCCAGCGCCGTGAGGATTCCCCACTCCACCTGGCACCAAGCGATCTGGTGCATCTTTCACCGTGCCTCTAGCTTCCAAGCTGCCACGCCTCGCCGTAACCCTTGCCCTTTCCCAAACGCACTCCATTTGCGGCAACCACGCCTTATCAGAACGTTGCAGAGCAAGTGAGCACCGCATCTACTGCAATGTGCTACAGCCAGGAACATCCGGGGAACAGCTAGCCACGACGACCACGTCCACGAGTGGGATGTCCTTGGTATCTGTCCCATCAGTTGCCACTTTGATGTGGCCTGTGGCGCCCAGCCGAGGCTCGAGTAGTTTTAAGGGTTTGGCCCACTTCAAGTACTCTCGCCTGGACAGGGTGTCGAGTCGAGATCACGACATCACCAACATCTGCAAGCCGGTCAGACCCTGGCAACCCATCTGGGACCCCTGGCTTGTCTCCGGCCCATTCCAAGGATCTGCTTGGGAAGTGGTCTCGATGAAGTTCTAGATAAAGAAAATCCGCGCCAGGGTATGGTGGCACAAGAACCTGAAGTTTTTCTCGTTTCGCTGCATTCGACAGGGCTGCACATGAGTGGTCGAAGAGAGTGCTGCGTCAAAGAGAATGAATACTGCAATGAAAGCACGGTCTTTCCTGCGACCACCAAAGCAGTTCGAAGAGCTGCCGCACCAATGGAAGGGTGCACCTTCACCACTGATGCGTTCTGCAGCTCCGGAAGCCCCATAAGATGCTGACCTGCAGCATGGCAGCGTTGATGCAAGCATGCAAAATCCGAAAGGCCCGAGAAATCGCTTCACAGAAGGCCGACACGCCAGAGCTGATCCAACGCAGTTGGGAATTCGGCCATGGCATGGGCGTGGAAAAAGCACGGCATCTTGGCTCTCCAGCCTGTCCCATACCTGGGCCGAGCACTGAAGCAATCCCATCCCTCCAATCCCTTTCAAGCCGTTGGTCCTGGCCTGCTGTCTCAACGCAGCCTTCCGCGAACTGCTCCGATCAGCTTCGGCTTCCATTCGGGTACTACGCGCTCTCAAGCAATGCTCTCCCTCCCAGTCTTGCTTGTCGCGTTCATCAGCGCCGGGTTTCTTTCCCCGAAGCAAACGTACCAAGTAGTCTTGTGAGCCTCTCGCGGCTACGTCGAATGCGCATAGAGGGATCATTTACCGAAGACATCTGGAGCTCAGCTGGCTGCTGCCATCTCGAGCACCTCATTCAGTGCCTGCCCAAGGCGTTTTCTTCCTTAACTGGAAGGCCTCGGAGCCTCAATTTGCATCCACGTGAAGTCGCGACATTGCGCCTCAATGAGTTGCAGCCGCTTCTCCAAATGTCTGGACCTTGCCACTGGCAACCGCATCGTACGCATGAGAGCTGTAGATACGGTTGCAGCCCCTCGTTTAATCAAAGCCTTGATGCAGGACTGATTCGATTGGGGTCCATGGAGCTTGCTAGACGCTCGCTTCTTAAGCTGGGCACGGCTATCGTAAACCTTGACATGGTCTCCATCCTACAACGTGCACTCTAAAAATCCACAGTCACCATGACGACTCAAATCCGATCGGCGTCTTTTTTGTGATTTCCTCGGAGTGCGGTTCTCGGTGTACTGGAAATCTGGGATGCCAGCAGGGCAATGGCCAGCTGAAGCTCGGCCTTCTGGCTGTGTGCAAAGGCGATGCTTGCTTCTGCAGTCGTGTCTGATAGCTTTGGAGCAGTGCTGCAAAACTTGCGGGCACTTTTCTAGATGGGATGATGGATGAATCACATGGAAGAGCGCTGTAGAGACACGCAGCAATGCCTCGACACACCGTTGTTCAGCTTCGAGGCGCACTAGCCTTTCTGCCTGCAAACAAAGCTTGGGCGCCAAATTCCGCAGTGGAAAGGAGAGTATGACAGGCAGTGTCATTTCCGTAGAGGAACGTGACGGCCTCCGTCTCCAGTTCCTCCGTCTGTGGTGGGGCCTTGAACTGCACTACTAAAACACTCCTAGCCTGTGGAGACATGAGACCAACACACACCAAATTAACGAGTCGGTATAATAATCGCTTCCCCCTAACGGTATAATCGCTTCCCCCTAACAATAACCACCCTATAATAAAAAACTGTCCCGGCCCCGGGATTTCGCGGTTTCGGGCCACAATTGAAAGTTAATTAAAAACATCAAGGGGGCCTGGGATTGTATTGCTAGTAGTGTTTATAGAGCCAGGATTACAGCAGTGAAACTGAAAGGACCAGAGCTTGACGGTTTTTTTCCCACCCGCCCAGCTTTACGGTTTAGGGGCTTAGGGGGCTTAAGGTTTAGGGCTTAGTGCTTTAGGGCTTGGGGCTTTAGGGTTTAAGGCTCAGGGCTTAAGGCCCTAGGGCTTGGGGTTTAGGCTTTAGGGTCTTTGGGCTTAAGGTTTTTTTGTCCCAGGGCTTAAGGCTTTAGCGATGCAGGCTGACTGTTTGCTACAGCAAGAACGGATGCATGATGGACGGTCTTTGTGTCTGGCTCACTAGCTCACTATTCGCCGAAAACCCCCCTAATTTTAAAATCAAACCCACCGAAATCCTTTTTTATATCAGGGGCAGGGGGAGGGCCTTTATATTCACTAAAGTACACTGTGGAGGCCTGCGTTTTGTGGTTTGATGTAACAGATGTAATTTACGTCTTGCTTGATTTCCAGGTTAACGTCGTTCATGTGTTGAGTGTTGTTGTGCCTGCGTTCGAATAAAGACATATAACAGGGATACGGCAGACTTCTTACATAGACGCGATATTGCGGGGAATGCGACATATGTGGCCCGTGAGGTAGGTGGCCCTGGTGGATGAAAACGTAACCGCATAGCGTTGAGCCGCAGCCCGTGATCTGAGTGCAGCACGGGGACCGCATCGTCCGCCACCACCTCGACAAACTCGTGGGCACCCAAGCAAGTAAAACGTTCTGTGAAATGTCTAGAGTCTAGAGCACGAGATTAAGCGCCCAGCAATCTGACCGACAGGGTTGAGCCTCGGACTCCGAGAGACTCTTATATACCCCGAAGCGGAGTGCAGTGGCCGCTGGTCAGAAATTCCACCCATTGCAGGCACTGCCCACTGCACAAGTGCTATGAGAATCCAGCGCTTCTCTCGAAAGCTCGGAGTTGCGCTTCAACATCATGGCCTGACAAAGTCAGGAAAACGCTTCTTGATTTTCATCGCTGGACAACGTGGACAAGCCTTGAAGACAAGGAAGTCGTCGACACCTCGCGGCTTTGCTGGAGGAAAACAAAGCGAAAGGGGCAGCGTGCAACTCCATATGTACCGTACATACTCTGGACTGGATTGCTGTCCAGGGACTGATCAACTGCTCCACCAGACTTCTGTGGAGCTCGTTGCTGCCCTGAGACGGGCAAGCTCAGCAAAACGAACTGACCAAAATCTACGCTGGGAATGTGGCAGAAAGTCCGTATTCACAGAACGTGGTGAACCTTTGCCAAACAGGAGCTCAACTCACGTGCTTTTCGATCTCGTCTTCTCATTCCGATTGTGCAAGCATGGTGCGGCAGGTTTCAACATCTTTGAGACAGGCTCTTTTGAAGGTCAACGGCCATTTCGGGCACGCATGCCGTTCTTTGAGGCCATCTTCCCTTTGCATGGCAATCCCGACGCTACTGATCTCCTGAAGTCGTGCCGAAGCCCCAGCTTTCAGCACACCTTTGCCTGGCTCTCAGGGGGTGACAGTTTTTGCTGGCCGTCTCTCTTGGCTTGACTCAATATACTCAATTTCTCTTGGCTGGAAACCTGGTTGGTTATTATCCCTGCAGCTTCCAGGAAGTCAGAGTCAGTGCAACCGGATCGGCCAGGCATGGACTTGTGAGGCTCTTAGTCGCATGATTTTGTGTGGTGGGGGCTTTAGCCTCTGCAGATTGACATGGTGAAACTGACCTGGGGGCCTGCCTGACACTTTGCTGTCCAGCCACTCTTCTGTTGAGATTTGCAGCTCCGCCAGGTGAGCCTTGGTTTGGAGGCAATCAAAGGATTCTTGAGCCATGGACTTGGAACTGAGGTCGGCTCTGCCAACAGGTCTTCGACCTGTTCGAGGCTCTCCACAGCCAAGAAAAGGAGAACAAGCTGCCGAGCACCAAGCACACAGGGATGCGTTTCTGTTTGCCCATCCTGTCCCTAGAACCAACCTCGCCACCACCCTTGCTTGCGTGGATCTGTGCATAAACTTTGGCTGACGGTGGTGGGGCATTCCTCGTGCTGGACCCTCCCAGCAGGCAGACATAGACAGAGGTGGAGTTGCAGTTCCCCAGCATTTTGCTGCCTCTGCGCTCGTGGGGCCCTCTTCGGATCTCGATGGCTGACGGACCGCTGCTCAGACGATGGCCAAAGCAGACCCGCTCTTCGTGAAGAACCGACGCAGAATTGAGTTCCCGACTAGTTGCTTGAAGGCATTGTGAACCAATGTGTACTCCAACCTGGCGCGCGAATCCATGCTATTCCCATTCCAGACAACCAATTGCAGACCTTTCCGAACGCGTCTGCAACCGAGTATTGAAGCATGACGGCCCCACTTGTTCTCCTGTGCCGAAAGTGCTTAAGTGCAAACATCTGTTCTGTCTCACTTTGGCGTCCTCCTGATCCTCGAAACAAAGGCAATTCTGATCGACGAACTGGGAGACTGGAACCATCCATGTGGGCGACCTGAGCAACGCACTATGGGCTCAGGGGGGCACTTGCAGGATGCTGCAAAAACTAAGCCAACAGGTTACTTTTTGGATCCAGCAATGGCAATGCTGGTCACCAGGCACATGTAACGCAGCCACACAGGTCCCCGTGCGAGGCCGCCTAAGACCTAAGAGAAGCCTATGAAGATGCGAATTCTGCAAATCAAGTCATGGCCTCAATGCCGGCAGACAAGCCCTCAAACACGCGCCAGGCGGTAGATCAAGCCATGGATGTGGTGGCCTGTGAATGCAACAGGCTGCAGGTGACAAACTAGTGCTCAGGTGATCTTAGGTGCAAGCTGCAGACAATTCACAGAGAAAAACGGAGAAACGGCCTCTTGCAGGGCTTGGCGCAGATGGACAAGCTCCTCCTCGCGCCTTTGCACCTCGCTGATTTGGCAAGCTCTTGCATTAAAACTTTGGCCTTACCCTTTTCTTTCTTGTTGATTCTCTCAGGTACATTCGTTGAACACTTGCAGGGCCAACGACCGCTGAATTGCTGAGCACTGCTTCCGCTAGCAAGTGGCGTTTACTTCCGAGCATAACAATTTGGAAGCCCCACACGGCCCCGTCCTCTGCAGCCAACTCCAAGCACTTGTGGCGATAGAAATCTGCATCCTGCATGCTTCTACAAGGCAGGTGGTGTACATGTGGAGCTAGACAGGAAATGGACAGTCCGTATGTATGCATGTATATATATATATATCGATATCATACTAATTTAGTACTATTCTTTAGGGCTTGCTGCCAACCCACAGTAGGAAAAATAACCAATAGAACCAAACATACCAAAGAGCACAAAACACAAAAGAACCAACACTAGCGAAAAAGCAAGAATACCAAAAGAACCCAAACAAAAACCGAAGTAACCAAAACAACAAACAAATTCGGAGCACTTGAAACTTCGCACCAGATCCCAGGTATGCCAAAACATTGGTGTGTTTGGTATTTGTGTTTTCTTTTGTGTCTTGTGTTGTTTTTGTATTTTGTTGTTTTTGTGTGCTCTTTTGGTACTGTTGGTCCTTTTGGTTTTTTGGCTCTTTTGCATAGTCTTTTAGGGTCCGTTCATTAGTTTTCCCTCTGCGCGTATTCAGGATTTGGTTGCAAGCCCTAAACCACGCAAAACGAGCACGCCCAGGGTCCCCCGGTTTGAATACATAAGTGTACTATGTATATATATATATATATGCACTAATCACACAAGATGAAGTCAAAAATCTCTTCTGTGGTATGGTATGCAAGTACGCGCACACCTGCATACATGCACACATGCGTACAGACATACATACATGTACACAAGCAATCATGCAGGAATACACGTATAAAGTATGCATACTTCGTATGTACATGTACATGAATACATACATGCATGCACATGTACACATGTGCGAACATACGTGAATGCATGCGTACCTACCTATCTGCCTTCAGACAGACAAACAGACAGACAGATACACGTTCTAACAGAAATGTGCATGCACACATGCCTCCATACATACATACATACATACATACATACATACATACATACATACATGCGCGCATCTACCCATCCAGCCAGCCAGCCATGCAGCCATGCATGCATGCAGACAGACATGTAGGACCATGTGCGATGTATGAATTTGGCAGTCAGCCCGTCCGAGTTATGCAGGTCCAACTCACGTCTGTCCCCGTCTTCCAAGTTGAAGCCCGGTGATCCGGAGGTCGTGACAGGTGCCGTTGTAGTCTGAGGGGACACCGACAAGCACAGCTGCTTCTCCAGGTGGTCGAGCGCTGCCCGAGTGTCTGCAAGGACTTTGTCATGAACTTCTGTTGCCTGAGCCTGCGTAAACAGCTTCAGATCCGTTCTGTTGGCGGGTGGGGGAGGCAGGTCCAAGGTTGTCGTAGGCAATGTACTCGAGGGACTTGACGGAGAGGGCCGGCCCATCTCCAAAGTGTCGATGTCCGCGGTCTGAGCCTCCTCCTCCTTGATGATATACTGCCGATACTGGCCCCACTCCTGCAGGATCAGTCGAAGGACGTCATACGAATAGCTAGCTCCAGAAGTCCTGCCCCATCAAGGATCCGAAATTTGGCATCCACTCTTGGGCAGTTTCTTGTGCGTAGCCATCGTGTGCTCCTTGGTGCATCAATGTGGTTCTTGAAGAAGCTCGCCACTGAGACATGCCTGTTGAATCCCGCGCTCACTTTCGAGTCCAAACTCGGGGGCATGCCTGCTTCCAGAGAGTTCACTTCGTAACCCTTTCAATGTTATGCATTTAATGATCTTGCAGCAGTGTTTCCATGGCTTGCGACGCTGCAGCGCCGGCGAGGTGGCTGCCTTTCCTGCATGTTACGTGAGGTATCAAGCATGGAACTTCGCAGTGGGCAGACAGCGACTTAGCGACTTGTCAGTCCTGGAGCAAGGTCTCCACAAGACTGGCCAAGGCCTGGCGTTCGGCCCTTTCCGCAGCCATGTCCTGCCGCAGCTGAGCGAACTCCTCCTCCAGACCTTACTTCGAGAGTTGATGGAAGCAGTACACCGCAGCTCAAGCCTTCGAGGTTTCGGCTGAAGCCAGCTGCCTGCACAGTTGTCGCAGCAGGGGCCCAGATTCCGCCAGCGCCATTCCTGTTCACCTGACTTCGGCGGCATGCTTGCTTGTGCCTCTCTGAATGTAGCGTCTCTCTTATGGACCGGCCACGGCCAGTTGCATCCGTTCAACATGGCCAGGCAGTATGTGGTAGAAGCCCTCTGCCCCGAGCACTTGCCAATATTTGCTAAACGACAGAGGGGGAAAGCACAAGCCATAAGACCCGGAACCGCCAAGAGGAAAGAGTGAGGACAAGTAACAACTCTTAGAATGAGTCGTGAAATCTGGTATGTTTCGGTATGCTCCTGCAGGTCCTAGGGCCAGAAATATGCCAGTTGTTCGTGCTTTGAGAAGCTTTCAGCAAGCGGCGAGTCCATGGCAGGGCCGCGGGAGCTGGCCAGGGCTGGCTTTCAAACGGCGCGGCGTCACCGTCGGCCAGGGCTGTCCCAGATGCAAAGGCGTTTGCATCAATCGAGAGTCCCTTGCACGGTGCAGCTCAGAACGCAGCAAGGACACAGCGCAGGTGCAAGTGTAATGCGGTCCAGGTTTCTGAATGTATGGACCAGAAGCAGAAGCCGTGTGCCGCTCCCGTGCGCTGCTTGCGGAGATGCTGCCTCCGACGTGGATGCCACAAGAAAGCATGATTAAATTCGAAAGAAATCCGAGGCCAGAGCTGGGGGACACACTTGAGGCCATTGTACTCTCGGGGCCTGGAAGACGTGGGGTCAGCGTACCAGCGGCCCAGTTTGCTGCTTTTGCTTTGCATGATTCATAAACTGCGTTTGTGCGAGGCCTACGCTCCGCCGTGCAGTCACTGCCGGGCGTGCTGGAAAGACTCTTTCGACCTGTGCGAGTGCCAATCACCCCACACCCCATGCACCCTGGCAATTGTGTGCTGAGATCTCCTTGCCTTGGCAGGCCGTGGCTCTGCCAACTCTACTTCCAACTGCGCAGCCAAGCGCTGGAATGCTGCTTCGCCCAATCGAACCGCCGCGTCCCCTCGATCGGTAGCTGTCTGATAAGCAAAGCACAGCGCACATGCCGGACTACAGAGGAGCGATCACGCCGAGACCGGCACTGGACAGAGGCTTGATCGCTGAAGCAGTAGCCTTTGGGAGCGCAAAGCACTGACAAAGCCCATGGTGCGATGATCATCGCGATATCGATGTACAATACTCACACACCTGTTCCTCTCTCACCCTTGGAAGCTTGAGCTGCATGTTGTAGTCGCACAACTTGCGGCTCGCATCCAAAACAGAAGCTTACCTTTTTGTGGCTGAGCTTCCTCTGGTACTACCATCTCATTGCAAGCCTTGCGCAGCATGGCCAGCCAGTCGCCTGAAGGAAGACGTGACACTCCAGCTCACGTGCAGACTGCGCGACCAAAGCGTGCCGAAGCCTGCTGGCCAGCTGACAGCTTCCAGGCCATGCGTCGCCAGCATTCGCAAGCCAAAGCACCGTAGCTCCTGCTCACAACAAGGTTGCGCTCGAAGAGGCAGTGCGGGGGAAAACTGGTCCTTGGGGGTCCAAGGTTCACCATCGTTCGAGGAGGAACGCCGCACAAAATCCACTGCCTCTTGCAGAGCCATCTCCTTGGATCCAAGAGGCATGCGCCGCTTCGTGTCAGCACTTTCCACACCAGGATCAAAGCTAGAACTGGCTAGAATCGGTGGATTCTGAAGGCCACCTCTTGAGAGCTTCTCTGATGATGCTCAGCTGCCGCATGCACCTCCAGCCACTTTTGTCAGAGAGTGGCCATGCTCGCCGACGCGGTGCCTTGTCCGATCTTCTGCCACTGGCACATGCGGCGCCAGCCGTTGCGGAGACTGGCTGCGCGCTTGGACGACGGAACCTGCCATGCATGATGCTCGGATGTTCTACATGTGTGTCCGAGTGTGTGTGTGTGTGTGTGCGTCTCTCAGACTGACTTCCGCTTCCACTTCCGCTGCTGGGGTTGGGTCCAAGTGCGACTGACTCTCTATTCTATTCTATTCTCCGGGGCGTAGGGTGCGAGTCAGGCACCCCGCGCCGTGAGGCGCACCCCTGTTTCGGGGCTTTGTAGGGGTCGACTGACTCTCTCTCTCTCTCTCTCAACGCTCTTTCTCTCCTTTCTCTCTTTTCTCTCTGTTCTCGTTTGCGCTCTTTCTTTCGCCAGGGTCAGGGGCAAGAGGATTGCTCCCCTTACCCGCGCGCTAGTGCGCCCCCGACCGTTGTAGAGGGTTTGCGCTCTCTCTCTCTCTCTCTCTCTCTGTCTGTTCTGTTCTGTTCTCCGGGGTCCAGGGGACTGGTCAAGTCCCCCTCCCTCTTTCTATCTGAGCGTATGGGATCCGCTCTCGCCCCCTCCCTGCCCCACACCCCGCCCTTGAGGCTGCTAAAATGAGGAGAGGCCAGGGGTGCTTGCTGGACCAAGCAAAGCAATTCGCCTTTTTTCTTGAGAGCGTCAGGCGGCTCGTCTCTCCGGCGGAAGGCTTGCAGCTCTCGTCGCAGAAAAGCCTCCTCATCAGCTGAGATGAGAAGGGTCTCCTGTGCTGCCTCTTCCAGTGCCGATGAGTCTCGCATCGATGGGCTGTAGAGAACGTTCTGTGGAAGGTCTTCACACGCCGTGCCCAACCGGTTGAGATGCAGGAACACATCGGTTCCGAAGCCATCCAGCGACAATATCTTCAGGTCGCCCCCGAAGTATTTCGCATAAAGGCGTCCCAGGGTGAGGCCCACGCCGAACCCTGCAAGCACGCCGCCCTGTTTCGGACGCTGCAGCGGATTGCTGGCCGAATCCCCGGGCTTTGTCTGGAATTCCTCTTCCCTCCTAGCCGCAGCCCACGGCGACTTTTTGGAAGTGGTGTACATGAACTTCCAGATATTGGGAAGGTGCGCTCGGGAGATGCCACCGCCTTCGTCGCTTACGCGAATCGTCACATCTTCATTGCCGTGGACAATGTGGCAGTGGATCGCCGGTAAAAGGTCGTCGAAACCATCGGCGTGGCGCTCGACAACGGCACGGCAGGAGTTTTTGAACACCTCCACGAGCATGTAATGCAAGTGCATCGGCACATAAGTGAATGTGCTTGGGTTCGTGTGGTGGATCTTGATGGGTGGAGCTTGCCCTTTGTGGGCCCTGCACAGCATGGAGCTGTCTTTGGCTGCCTTCTGCGCGATGATGGAGGGATCGCATTCAAGCTGCAGGATCCCAGAGTGGCCCTCACGATTCCTGAAGGACTCGATATGGTGTTGGATCAGGAAACGCATTCCAATGCGAGCAGTGAAGAAACGGCGTAGGATTCCATCGACCTCGGCCTGCACCTGAGCGTAGTCCTCTTGAAGCTCGTAGATCAAATCTTGAACCCCAAAGGCCATCGCTTGGATCACTTCTGAGTGCTCCTCGAAGATGCGGGTCAGCAAATTTGTAAACTCCTCGTCCAGTTCCTCTGTGGCTGGGCTAGGCGAGTCCTCCAGCAGGTGCATGAAGTGAGTATACCACTCGATCACGTCCCGGATACCCCGTCGCGCTCCCAAACGGTACGGCAGTGATGTCAGCTCCAGGATCCTCTGCGCCAGGCGGATCCGAAGCTCCCGGTGAAGGAAGATGCCGTGCTCGCGACGGCGCCGGCTGTCTAAGCCAATCTCGCAGAGATCCCGTAGGGTCACGGAGGTCGGTGTCTGGTCGGCCCAGCGCAGGACGCAACTGTCCACTTCAAGCACTTCAAGTCTGCTTGAAGCGCTCGTGAAGGAGCGAGTGAAAGCCGGAACCACATATCGGCGCCTCAGCTGAACACAGGTCCTGGCCACCAGCAATCTGCAACCTCGGCGAACATGGCAAAAGACCATGAGGTGTCCGCTGCCGGCTGAGCAATCACACGTGTCCAGGTTGCGGAGGGGCACAGAATTGCTTAGGACGGGCCCTCACCTTATTTCTAAACCCTGGCGCTTGTGAGCCTTGAGCCCAGGGCCTATACTCGAACACCAACCACAAAAGGACGGTGCACACAGGAGTTTGGTCGAGCTCACGCGGAAGTGCACGGCCGCCACCTGCACGCCGTGCATCTCGCAGGTCCAAGGTGATGAAGCGCTGCGGCTGTGTGGATGCAGGCATCGCCTGACATCGTTCCGCTCTGACCAAGCATCATCGCAGGGCAACTCTCAACCTAAGCACCTATTTTCACGTTGTCTGGGAGCCAGGCTTGCATGTACCTTATTGCGAGAACTTCAGCATGGCAAGAACAACACCTGCCGCAAAGCAATGCCGCGAAAGTGCCTCGAAGGCGGCGGCTGTGAACACGACCGAGTGACCTGTACTGGCTGTACTGGCCTGCAGCGGGCTTGCAGCTTGCAGGCTTCGGAAACCGCTTCAAGAACACCAGGCGGGAAGCTCTCGTTTGCACAAGCTCACCCCAATGTGCACACGGAGGCAACCTCGCAACTTCGAGGGGGCACGCCCGGGGATGGCCTGGTGCCAGGAGAGGATGACCAGATGTGGTGACAGACAGGCATGATAGGCAGGCATTGCCTCCAGCGTGAGCAGCCAGCGGCGCGTGTGAAACAATCCCGCCGGATTCTCAGTGCGAGGGCCGGAAGAAGTGCCGTCCACGGCTCTCAGCATGGACATGTCTCGGGATTTCATACTCCCAAGCCGCAGACTGAGCACGGGTCTCGCGAGAACCCGACTTCCCTGAAAGGTTCGGACATGACACAGGTAGAATGAGCGCGTCGAGTGAGCACCAGACCGTGAGCCAAGCATTGGTGGACCCGGCCTCCAAACGACATCTGTAAAGCTTCATATTTATACCACCACAGGAATGCGGGACGTCGAGAGGCCTCCATGGACGCCAGCGACACGTTACCCGAAGCATGCAGCACGGCTCTGCAGCGAACGGTCTTTGAACTTAGGGACTTAGGGCTTAGGGGCTGGGATGATCAGACTATCTGAGAGTTGTGACTCCGCCATGCAAATGGGGCCGTGAATTGCGGGGTTTCCCCGGTTACGATTGTACGTAGGCAAACTGCATCGCGTTTTAACTCTCTGGCCATCTGCTCATGTGCCTATCAGCTGATGCCGTCGGGCCAGGGTTGGATCAAAGCTGCGGATGAAGCAGGCTGTTACTGTTGCCGCCACCATATGCTGCTATGTGCTGTTGTCTCCTTGGCCACGAGCTTGAAGATCCCAACGATCAACTGCGAGGTGCGATCCTGGGGCGTTCCGTTTTTAAGGCCTACAAAACGAGACAGTTCCCCCAGGCTCGATCTCCTGGTCTTCGGCCATTGACCCTGGCTAACTTGAGGGCGAAGGCTCTCGAATCATGCTTTGAGCCCGTGGAGCGCAGCTTCCACAGCATTCTGCAGCCCCTTCTCTCAGAGCGAACAGACGTGTGAGTCAGTGTGAGCGTGAGTTGTTGACGGTGTTGGTTCTTTTTGCTGCGCTCGTCTTCTTTGCAGGCACAGGCTCCTGTCTCCGTGCGGCCAGATTTCGGCCCGGCAGTGAGACGTGAAAATCCTTACTCGGCATGGACTGTCTCTGAAGATGCTCCCTCTGGCAGTGCTGCAGGCGTGTTCATCCTACCGCGACAAGTTCAGCATCACTCCTTGGAGATTCCAAAGCCTTCCGGTCGCACACAGACTGACACTGTGGATCACGTAACTACGCGAGTTTCAGCTACGAGCTACGGGTACAATGGTTTCATCAGCGCTTCCCGGGTCCTGCACGTCTGGATGTGCCATCTCAAACCTGTCCAAGTCGGAAACCACCTCCGCAAAGGCATTCCGTCGTGAAGCGTTCTGAGAATAAGGGCTTGCGGCTTGCTATTCCGAGAGTTTCGCCAGGGCACGGAACGTAGGATCTGATCATGCAGCCGTGGTTGGGCTGCAGGCATTGGTCTTCCACGTTCTAACCACCTGAACAACTCAAAACCTGCTGAAATGTAGCCGGGGAGTGTCCTGCGTTGCAGCGCCTGGGTACGGATGTGGCATCTTGTGACGGCAAAGGGTCCTGCCAAAGTGAGCAAGCATTTGGCAAAACTGCCAGCTCGTCCAAGCAGAAGGGCAGACTCCTGGAAGTGTTCTGCTCGGGTGCCGAACTCTTCCAAGAACTCGGGAGCTGTTGGAGCTGCCATCTCCATCTCTGCTTGGCTCTGCATCGTCCCGTGCTTCCACCCAGGCTGATTCAACGGGATCTCGTGCCTTAGAACTTCTGTCAGAGTCCTCATCTCATACATCAAAACGGACTTGTTGCTTAGACTTTGTCGGCTGGGTTCCCAGCATTTCGAGGCCAGAAACAGGATCGATCTCGGGTTCGTTCAAGGCCCGTGCCCGTTCTGGGTTGCCAGGCTCTGGAAAACGTTTCGGTCTGTTTCCGAACCGAGGAAAGCTTAGTGGCTGGGATGCCTGCAGCACCTGTGGTCTCAGGTGCTCGGTGAAAGGCGGAAAAGATGCCTGGAGCCCAGGTCGCAGGAACTCACCGCCTGATCTGGCCATGGCCCACTTTTGCCGCCCTTGGATGACAACATCGTCCTCGTGCCGGGGCTGTGTCGCTCTGTAAGCTGGTGGTATGATGGGGAGCAACGGATGTGGCTTGTTGTCCATTGCAACGGCATGGGCGGCACTGGTTTGCTTGTGTGCTCCAATTCCACTTGAAAGAGGTGGTTTGTGAACTCCGCCGCCCCAGCTGAGCCAATCCATTCTTGCGTGCAACCTTGGCTGTGAGACTGTGCAACAAACCATCCTGAATCCACGACTGGGCTTCAGCAACCGTCTTTCTTGATTCCCTCTGCGTAATCTTGAGGAGGGGCAGCGACAGAGGATCAAGGGAGACGGAGTGGCTTGCTTGCCGGTTTGTATACTTTCTCATGCATTTGGCACAGGATTTGTGTTTGTTTGTTTGTTTGTGTGTGTGTGTGTAAAAGGTTGGGGCCCTCCTGGATGTGTGCTTCATGTGCCCGCCCGTCGAGATGTCCGTCTCCCAACTAGCTATGTGCTCGATTTTGCCCAAGCACCCTCCCGGATGCTCCCATCTCCCTGAAGGACCATCATGAGCGTCGGCGTGTGAACGGCCTGCTACCCCCCAATTCTCCCTCTTGCTTGCTTGCGGTGCCCCCCTCGAAGGGGCTCTCAACGTCTGGCGTCCAGCGCTCGTCGGCGTGAGACCAACTTTCTTTCAGCAGGGCTGTGGTGGGCAGCTTCGTCTCCTTCTTCTTCCACAGGGCATGGGGGATTGTTTAGACCCCCCGGCCGCATGGGGCCCCCATTTGTTATGGGGCTTTGAGGAGATCGTGAAAACTCCGCACAGGTTTGCATCAATATGTGATGTCCCCCTGCGTGTAAGAATTTCAACACTCTAAAGAGCTGCAATATGCTGCGCACGTTGTGCAAAGTCTGCAAACTCCACGGTTTGCCCTTTGGCTGCCATGTTCTTGCTTGCTTGCATAGGGTTGCGGGTCAAGCCGGACCCCTGGCCCGAGGGCCAACCCAACCCCCCCTGGCGCGCGACGTCCTCAAGGCCCCTATTCGGGGAATGCAAAAGTGTTCCCCCAAGTGGGCATGTGTAGACCCCCACGAAGAACACGTGGAGCGTCATGTCAGGGCTGTGGTGGAGCGTCATGTTCTCTCTCTCTCTCTCTCTCTTCTTCTTCTTCTGCACAGCCAAAGGAGAGCAAGGGCGCTCTCCTCGCGCGCGAACGCGCCCTGGTTGTTGTTTCTCTCTCTCTCTCTCTCTCTCTCTCCACGGGGCATAGGGGCAGGTCAATGCCCCCGGGCGCCAGGCCCACCCAATGTTGTTTCTCTCTCTCTCTCTCTCTCTCTCTCTCTTCGCTTCGAGGCATGGGAGTCGTGTCAGGACTCCCTGGCCGAGAGGCCCACCCCTGTGACGGGGCCTTGCGGGGAGAGTCGGAGAAATACTTCCCACGGTCATCAAGCTATGGATGCCAGGTCTAAGGGCCAAGTAGGGCCGGCAACCTATGCATCTCTATTCTATTCTATTCTCCGGGGCGTCGGGTGCGGGTCAAGCACCCCGCGCCGTAAGGCGCACCCCTGTTTCGGGGCTTTGTATAGGGGTAGTATACAACATACAGATGCATCTCTCTCTCTCTCTCTGCCGCTGTGTCCTGCCCATCCTCGAGGGCCTCGCTATGCGAGGGCACCTGACGGCAGGCCAGAATATCAGGAGGCATAGCGCGAACGCAGCACCCGCCTCCGTCGCGCGGCTGCAATTTACAAACCAAGAATAAAACCCACACTCCCCCTCCTCCTGCTCTGCTCGACAACTTGCAAGGCAACAAGATGCGAATTCTGTTGTCTTAAATCTGTGCATGGGACGACCCACTCAAAGAGACCTCTGTTTCGAAGCAGTGGAGGTTGCGAATGCCATGGAAACCCCATGCAATGCATTTTGGTTGCGAATGAGCACGAGTGCAGGAGGCTTCGCCACACTCGAATGCTTCGAAAAATTTGCGGAGCGACGCAGTGTCTCGCTCGCTTGTTTCGGTTAGGAGAAGTCTTGCATAGCCCGAGAGTCAAGTTTCTTTGGACAAGGGTGCAGCGACACACGCAGGCAGGCAAGCCGGGGTGTAGGTTCAGCCGGGAGGGAGGTGGGGTTGGGTTCCGTTCGGATTAGGTCAGGTTAGGTCGGTTAGGTAGATAGATCGCCAAAAATAAGTGCGCACATACAGGCAGCAAGCGGACACAAAGAGTCGAGTGAGAGTGCCCGGCACCTGACCGTATCAATGCAAGCACGAGCGCTGCCTCTAAGTTTGGAAAGGTTCGATTACCTTTTGAGTCAGGGGAGCATGATCCAGAAATCCCCGGCGCACCATTCTGACATAACTGCAGCGAGCAGCTTCAGGAATGCGAGAAGCCCGCAACAGCAAGGGGAAGTGCCTTTCGCCTACCGGTATAGTACGAGAGGGCTCAGCCATTGCACATCGAGGGGAAGATGATGATGTCTGTTTGGTATTTGTTGCCTCTGTGTCTCTCGGCTTTCTCTGCCTCTGGCAACTGCTGATGAGAAACTTTGTGGCCCAGAAGAAGGACACAGCTTCCTCCACGTGCGAGAGCTTGGAAGCCAACGACCAAAATGTCGAATCCGGCTGTCTCGTCGCATCTCTCACCGCGCTGTGTGCCTGAAAATATTGTGGGGGCTGCTGCTGCTACTTCATCTCTTTGCAATTTTTTGGGCAGAGGTGTGCTACCTGGACTGCAAGGGGCACCTCCAGACTTTCCTGAAGGACTGCTCGGATTCGTGAGGAGACGGCCGCGGGAGGCTGCCACACTGAAATCGTGCCATCACGAGCACCTCATGAATCAGTTTGAGTTTGGCAGGAGGGCAATGTTGTTAAAGCAGAGCTGGGGTTTCGTAAGAGCAGAACCGACGAGAAGCTGGCCAGGATCATGCCAGGGAGAGCCTCGGCTGCGAGCCTTTCATGCAAACTGCGCGGGGCACTCAAAAATCGGCCGAGATGCCCAGACTTATGCAGTTAGCATTGATACTCACCTGCCGATGCGACATTGAAACCCCCTCTCACACGCATGTCGTGATGGGGCGTTTGTGTATAAGAAGGTGGATGAACCGGTGGACAGTTGCCGTTTCAGGCCTGGTAGCATTGTTCGCCGGAGCTGAAGTCGACGACGCAGATCAACGAAGTCGATTCCTCATATGAAAGCACATGATGCGACGGTGTCGTTGCATCAAAGCCCCGAAGAAAGAACACACAGACTCGACGATGTCCCTAGCGTCTAGCGGTATCATTCAACCTCTTCAACATGATGAACCGGCTCACGGTACCCAGCACCCAAATCAACCCGAAATCATGCTCCATAATGCCCGAGTCTCCGCTGCCGATGCAGCATGCGAGGATGGCCAGATCGAGTGCAGCAAATCATTGCACGCATAGCCGGTTGGCACAGCACCTGCAGTGTCGTGAACTTACGGGCACCTAAGAAAAGCAGAAAGAAGTTGGGCGCCGCTCCTGCATCGTGCCCGAGATGCAAGTCGATCGGCCCCAGTGGGCCGGGTGTGGAAGCGCAGAAAATGTAAGAGCCTCGCAAGAAGTTTGCGGAGCAAGGCATCACAGGACCCCGAAACATGAAGCAAGGCATGTCTCGCAGATCTTAGAGGTGTCAAGCCACCACTGCAATCCAAGCAGATTGATGGATGCAGGGGTAGCAGAGGCGCCACCTGACTCTTCACAATCCTGTGTTGCAGCTGCAATAGCACTTTCCTTTCAAGCCTCGCAGTCGTTGAGGGGCCCGCTAACAAGGAGTTGAAGACCGGGCAAGACTTCAGTAGCTCTCCGCTCCACAAGTCGAAGACGAGAATAATCGACCTGTTGCGAATGCACCCAGCTGTGTAGGGAGCGCTGTTGGCACAACGCCGCCGCTAAAATTGAAAAGCCTCACGTCACTCGAAGGTAGCACTGCCGAAGCAACCAGGTACCTGAACGAGACCAGGATCGGACGCGAAGGATCATCGGAGATTCCCGACTTCGATCAGTTTTGCAGGCGCTCACATGCTGCTACAAATTCAATTCCACTGCGCAAAATCACGCATCCTGCAGCATGTGTTGGTGTTGCTTTTTTGGTCGGGACTGGAGTGACTGGAGCCTTGAACTCTCCAGGATCGTGTCCCTGCCACGCTCCCACCGATAAAGAAGGTGGCTTTAGCCCTATGGCACGTCTCGCAAAGCCCTGTTGAACTCTGAGCTCACTTTGACGGTCGCAGCGCTTCCGATTGCTCCTGGCGGCCCGAAACTGGTGCCATTGGGTTGGTGCGACGACCGCGGTGTTGATGACTTCTGCGAATGATGGTCCGGTCGCCAGTGCTGCCGTTGTCCTTCCATCCTGCCAGCCTTCCGATTCCGTCCTAGCCATAGCGTCAAGACAAACAGACTCCAGATTCACGATAGATAGATTGCGATAGTTCTTGATTTAAGCGGGGACTTCTCGTAATCACTCCAAGTTCCAATAGATCAGCAATCACCAGCAACTGGGAGACCCTCTTTGCAGTTGCAGCACAGTTGTGATGGATGTGCGCAGAGGTCGGTGAAGACTCCTCCAGCAGCCTCTGCGCAAGTCTGCAACGGCTGAACTGTTTACACCCTCACAGAGCTCAATGTCTTGTCGCCTGGCAGACGGGAGCCAGGGCGAATTGGGCTGTTGGCGCTTTGGCAAACGAATCGCCCAGCGGGTACACTTCGTGGAGGACTGCCTTCCGAGGATGTCTCCAGCTATCCTCCCAACTACTTCCCTCAATCTCTGAACTGTGCTGCAGTAAACTGGCGTGCCTCCCAGGGATTGCGCAGTCTGCTGACTACATACAGGTTCTGATCATAAGCTCTCTGCGTCGCTGTGGGCCGCCAAACGAAAAACCTGGGCAAGACTGTTGCCATAGCAAACTGTCGTGCACTTATACATCGACCCAGCCGAGCGTCGCTTGTTGAACCTTTTCGTTGTCGCGAGGTCCACTTGGCTCGCCGTGTTGAAGCCTGAGCTCACCGAAGCAAGCGATGTGCAGCAACAGCAAATTGCCTCCACAAACCGAGGCCCTTGCTGCAGCAGCAGGTTGAGAGTAGGGAATTCCAGCAAATCCTTGGCCGTACAGAGCACTTGCACGAAGAGGTGTGTCTTTCGAGCTTATGACCTGGCAGCACAGGAATTCACAGGAAGATGTGCGTACAGAATAACCTCTGCGTAGCTCATCGCAGCGGGATTCTTCTTCCGGTAGGCCGCGTACCGCTGCGCCGTCTGCGAAGGATGCCGCAATGAAGCTTCCACAAGAAGAGATGGTCAAGTGGCAACACGACCTGGGAAGCGCCAGGGGCGCCAAGACGGACTCAGCGGAGGCGAAAGGCCCGAGCTCCAAAAGCCCTGAACTCTTCACCTCCAGATCACCCACATCACGGGGGTACACCTGACAGAACATGCATGGAACGCTGATCGCATGGATGGCGTAGTTCGAGAAGGGCCTCCGAAGGTGTGGACGGCGAATTGCGTGGTGCACTGCGCACCGTTCTCCAAGTCACCGCCTCGTCTTCCAGGGCTCCAAATGTCGTCAGCAGTGTTTCTTGCAGGGTGGTCGGGGCTTTGCCTGATCAGCTGACGCCGGCGCCAGCGCCTGGCCCAGAATGAATGCTCAAGACAAGTGGGACCAGGCCATTGCTTTGCAATCTTACTCCGCTGGACGATTTTGGCACCGCCGAGCTTAGCCACTCATGCATGCGGCATCATGCGACACCTGTGGCCGCTTGAGCTGGGGCTGCCATGGCGCTGAGAGTTCTTGTTTGCTGCGTGCAGGTACCGCGCGTGAACCATGCAGCTGAAACCCGTCGTGTGAACATGCGCCTGGAGGTGTGAGATGCACTGCGGGCCTATGGGCCCAAAGAATCATTGTCGGCACCGGTGGCCGCGACAGGCTCACGCTTCTCCAGGTCAAGGTTGTAACAAATCAGCCGACTTCCGCTGTGCCTTGGGTGAACGTGTCTGATGTATCGAGCGACTATAGTGTCCAGGGCGCAGCGGATGGGGCCAAGCCACAGCACGAAGAGTCGGTTCCGGGGCGCTGCCGCCATGCCGACAATGATGTTGCGAGGCCATGGAAGGGTACGGAGGCCACGCTCAACTTCCTCGGCAATTGACACACCGTAACCTTGATTTTCTCGCTTGCACAATGCTCATGTCTTGATGTGCTGAAGCGGCAAGTGGAGTCACTCGCAGTTCAAATCGCAGCGAGCCTCACGTCAGGCAGTCAAACCAGTATGTTTTGATGAGCTGCCCAAATCATCGACCTTTGTGCATTCCAGGGGCGCTTCCGTCTCAGAACTGTCACAGCCCACAGCATCCTGGCGACCGAATCCATTTTGGTTGACACAACGACCTCAGGTTCCAGTGCAGCAGGTGCTCGCTCTACCTGGATCGTCGACCTTTCACGAACTCACATCCCAGCGGGCCAAGCCACGGTGGACAAACCGGACATGTACACGGTGTGCGCAAAAGCACCATTGAATGGAAGCGATTGCTTGCACCGCATGCTCAGGCAGCCATCCTGACATGTGAGGCAAAGCAGTTGTTCGTCGACACTTACACGCGTATGGAGTGCTGCAAGATTCATTGGCTGCGTGACTCAAAACGGACCCAAATTCTTGCAAGGTAAGCATGCGTGAAGTCATGTCCTTCGGAGATTGAACAAATCCTGCTTCTAACAAAGGGCTATTCAAAAGTCAGCCCGCCCGGAACATTCAAGGTCCAAGATGCAGTGAGCCAAACCGTGGTCTCAGAGAAGATCATGGCCATATGCTCTGCCCGGGTGCCTTCAGACCGATGCGGCTCACAAGGTAGATTCATACCAAGCCCGAAAATTGACTTACTTGGCTTCTGGTAGAGGTGCCTGACAGGACTTGTGTCCGTGCTTCTTCGGCATGCACAGAGTTCAGCACTTGCACGCGCTGGAGCAGGTCCTGGCCGAAACGCTAGGTCAAAACCCCGTGTACAGAAACAAATACAAAATGAACGCTTGAGGACGTTCTCGTCCTGGGCTCCAAGCAGCGGAAGAACAAAGGATCGTATGATCTCTGCAGGCAGCAGGCAGCCATCTGCAGTCCAGTCCATTAGACTGTCACCTGACACCATGAAATGGCTCATCGGCGCATCATTAAATATAGATCTACAACACTCATGTCACATCATGACGCATCCACACAATAGCCGCCACTTTGTGCGCGGCCACGCCTGGCTGTTGGCATGGAGGTGTTTCCACAGCGCGGACACATCTCAGAGGTATCCAGCATGCATTCCATGCTTTCCTGCCAGGGCATGCGAGAAGGCAAGCCTCAGAGTAGTGTCGGGCCTTGGCGGGTGGGCTGTGTTCATATGTTCATAACAGTCATGCCAACAGCACTCTCCAGCATTGGACAACTGAGAGATCCCGAGAACGGGCGTGTGACCCTTAAGCCTTAAACTTCACCCCTGAACGGAAACGGAGGTGAAGGGCAAATCCTGAACACATTCAAGACCATCACCCAATGCAAAGGGCAACAAGCAAAAGAATCAGAAGCCCCACTTCAGACTAACTCGTAGACTTGCGGCTCCCCACCTCCTCATCCCTCCATCAGATTCGGGGGCAAAGCTTCGAATGATGGTAGCAGGCTCGTTCTCGGGTGGAAACCTCGGTGGGCGCCGGGGTCGGGAAGAGCCGGCACTGTCCTCGAGGTCAGGCGTCTCTTCCAGGACTGTCGGAGCCGGAGCCGCGGGAGCTTCCTTTGGAGCTTCGGCCGACGGAGGCGCCAAGTTGAGCACCTTGACCTCACCCCCGAGTGAGCCCAGAATCGCACGTCCCCGTGCGACGTCGATACTCGGAAGATTGTCTTGAAAACAGTGCAGTAGTGATGGCTGCATGTTGGCCTGTCTCGTCTGCCAGCTCCTTTCGGCCCTTCGAGGATACGATGGCATCATACTCGGATCCACGTTTTGCGGAGGAGTTAGCCACCATGCCTTGACGCAGTGGTCGTTTGCAGACACTAGTAGGGGCCCATCAGACGTCGCAGGCTCCCCATGGGGAGACAGTCCAATGCCCCAGGTAGAGACACCAGCAGATGAGGATTGGCCAATCTTGGCATTTTGCAGTTTGAGGACCGGTTGTCTGCTGGGGCTGCTGGGGGACGGCACGACCAAAACACCACCCTGCGCGTCCACGGCAACGACCACGGACTGGCCACCGAGTTGACCGCAACGGATACGGTTGGCCTGCGCGCTCAGCTCCGGTGCACAAGAGGTCAACACTGCGCCTGCCAGACCAACGTCCACGTCAGTGATGCGAGGCTGAGAAACCTGGGCTTCCAGGCCAGCCATTGAAAAGCCGAAGAGCTGGCGCTGGTTGGCGATCCAAAGTACTTGTGACACGGGGCAAATATCCATAATGTTCATGGGTGGCCCGTTGGGGCCAAAGTGCCACAGCTCGGCTTGACCCAGCGGCATTCTGGGCACTTCCCAGGCTGCGCGGCAAGAAATTTCTAGACTGGCCGCTGCCATCTGTGCTGTTCCATTCGGATCCCAGCCCCAGTCATTGAAATCTGTCAGGTCTTCACCTTGCCCGAGCCCGTCGCCAAAGAGAGAGAGGTCATCGTCGGAATCGCCCTCACCGAAGGCTTCTTGCTCCATGGCTTGTTCGAAGTCCTCGGCATCGGAAACCATTTGCAGAGCATCTTCTTCGAAAAAGTCGCCCATGTAATGCAACTGCTCCTGGCATGGCATCTACAGGTGCTGGCATTGCCACCGCAGAGCGACAAAGGGATTGGAAGAAAACACAGTGGCGGGCTACACGGCTACATGTCGAAATCGAAAGAGCCTGTGCGTCTACAAACGAATGCACGGGATCCTCGCTCAGCCAGTGCTCGGCCTCCTGTGCAAACTCTTCCAGTTCTGCCATCTCTGCTTGGGCCGCAGCTTCTTCCGCCATCCAAAGCTCTTCGGCTGCCTCGGCTGCTGCCTCCTCGGCCATGCGGATCTCTTCCTCAGCGGCTTCCTCCTCCGCCCTCCAAAGATGCGCGCTTTCCACATCCAGGGCTTCGTCGGGCCCAGAGCTGGCAGAGGCAGCATCCATCCTGCCGCGCTGCGCCTGCGCCTGCCGCGCTCGTTGAGACCATAGGTGGCCGGTGGCCAGCGCAGAGACTACCTACGCTAACTGTGCAGGAGAAGCCGGAGGGGGGGGGGAGCGGGGCGTGGTTCCTTTGGTTGCCTCTTGCTCTAAGCAGATGCCGTCACCTATTGTCTGCAGATCTGCTTTGCAATGTCTTGGCTCTAACAAGTGGTCCGCATGTTTGACATCTTGAGCATACCATTCTGGTGTTCTGCCGGCTAAGGAGTACGCGTTAAGACCTGTCAGTGTGTCCACTGTCGCACCAACGCCGTCAAAGCCTCGAGCAAGTGGACGGAGCCGTCTTCAGCTCCAGCCACAAGTACATAGGCGCCTGTCACGGGACGCTGTGGGCATGTGTGCAAGCCAAGCACGTGGCTAGATGCAGACGGAGTTGCAATGAATAGACAGAAACGGCAAAACGACACGAGTCGGCTGACCGTTGAGGCTGCCATCCAACGCAAGGCAAGCAGAGGGGTGGAAGGCGGCAGCGGTGAGAGCCCTGCCGCCTCGGTGTCATCTTCACAAAGAGAGGAAGGACATCAACATCGTAGTCTTAGGTCCTCTTAGGTCTCCAGCGGCCTTCCCTCACAATCAGTGATTGTTCTTCGTCGAGAACAGGAACACCCACGTCTCTGGTTAAACACCTGCGGGCCATGTACTACGTATGCATTACATACTAGTGTTTTATAAAACACTAGCAAGTCTGGCCACACCCTCGAGTCGGGGGTCCCATCTTGGGCCAAGCGATGAAGCCCAGCCCTGTGGCTGCGCAGCCCGGCCTCGCACGCAAGACATCTTTCTATCCGATCTTCGATCCCTTTTCTGTCGCATCCGTCCCGTACACAGCGCGCAATTAAGGCTTGCACCTCTGAGAGCCGATGCTGAGAAAGGCGAGAGCTTTCGTCTTGAGGATTCCTACAAGTAGCACGGGGCTCCATCTCCCAACAGCTCAGATAGAAAATCCAACGAGCCGAGGATCTCTCTGCATCGAGCATCCGCCCCGCAAGTGCGGCCGGTGCGGTCAAACGAGGTGCAGTTGTGATACCTCACACTGTACGTACAACTGCGGCATGATTCTGCTTCCCCATGGTCTCGATGCAAGAAAAGGGAGACTGTCTAGCTACTTTGGCACAAGTCAGTAGAAAATTAATACGTTGCAACACCGTTTTCAAGCAAGAGCAAGACAAGATGCTGCAGATGTTGCCGGCATGTCCAGCTCGCAAAGCGACCCATTGGGCGGAACTGAGATGGATGACCTCGGACCAGACCGAAATGCGACGACCCACGTGTGACGCATGACAAGCTGACAAACTAGACCGAGAGCCAAACCCCATGTGTTGCATCTGAAAAACACACACAAGCATAGTCCTGTTATGGCGAGAAGAAACACCGAACACGCCTTTTATCATCTCACACATGCAGTCCTCGCTCGCGCCAAGGGAGACCGAGACAACTCTTGGCGCAAGCTTCTCTATTCCGGATGTGTCGCAGAGCTGAGGTGGACATGGCAAGGTTTTCCAGTGCTCAGGACCTCGGCAACGACTGAACGCTCTTGCAGTCAACCTCTCCCGCAAAACCTTGCGGATGAAGTGGGCGGGGTTCCAAGATGCCACTTTGAGACTTGGGTCGCTTGACGGGATGAACAAGTCAAGAGAACTTCTCAGCTCATGTGATCGCTTAGCTCAGCGCTGGCACTGCGAGACACGAGCAACGAGCCATCTTCACAACCGATGCACCTTATTGAGGCACAGATATATCTACAGCCACTAGCATTCAGCAACAAAGCTTCTCAGGAAAGGGGCCTGTCTCCTAAATCAGCTGAGGAGCACGGTGCTTGCCTTTGCATCCATGCAGGTGGTCTTGGCAGTAGGTGCTTGCACGACCTGCCAAAGAAACCGTTCGATGTTCCACGCTTCTGGCTCAAGTGGTAGACCTGCTCCCGCTGGCCCTCGAAATTCATGACCTTCCGTGGCAGCAGCCCGCAGCTAATCTAACTGCTTTGCTTTGATCTGCCTGGAGCCGGCCCTCCGTCAGTAGGTATGCCAGGCGGCCTACGACATGCAACTGGGAACTTCCACGAGAGCAGGAATCCCGGCCTTCCAACTCGAAGGCTTGAAGCGGCTTCGTCAAGTCCACCCGCAAAACCTGTCTGGGCCCACATGCAGCCCGCTCTATGCCAAAGCTGCAGCCAGACCTGGCGAGTGCTGCCTCCGGGCCCCGCATAAGTCCAGAATGTCACCGCGTCTACCTGCACCAGACCATCCCAAACCGTTCAGGCCACTGCAGCCCAAGACTTCCTCTGCAACTGCGAAATGGCGAGCATCGTCAAGAAGTCGGACTGCCAATGGTGAGCTCGAAGGCCCTAAGGAGCCCTGCGCCAAAGGCCGCGGACCTTGACTCGGTTGCCACATGCGGCATCATGCGGCATGCTGACGAGTCCCGCTACCGCACAGATGCGCTGAGTGTACCGGCTCAGGACATCAGCGTCCCAGTAGGCCACACATGCAGACAGAGCCTGAAGCCGAGCCCTCGCAAAGCGTGACAAGGGCCAGGCCAGGCTCTTGGGACTGGGGCTCTTGCGGAGTTTCCGTAGAGAACAAGCATGTGCTGTGTTTCGCGGTGATAATCTACCTCCGCTCGGCTCCGACATCTTCTCATGTGCAGCACACCACCGGTGTACTGGTGAACAGCGGTCAACAAAGTTTGTCCGGTGAGCTTCGCGCGCAGAGCCCCTGTGCCGAGGTGTTCGCGAGGGCATGCTCCGCGACCTGACATCGCGATGGAGATATGCAGTATATGCAGTTCTTGATTCACGATGAAGATGAGACAAATCCTGTCCCGGTCCGAAGAGTCTGGGCTGGTAAGCCCCTTGCCCGAACTCCATCTGCAGTCCGCCAGACAGATAGTGTGGGCTGTCCGCTGGGCGACACCCAGAAACCCAGCACAAAGCGCCCATCCTGCAGCGCATCAAATGAGATCAAATTAAACATGCACGCGCCCGCCTACCTACCTGCCTGGCTACCTTCCTACCGATCAGAACAGGAGGAACCGGGCTGCGAAAACAGGAAAACAACAATGCCTTGCTGAAGAAGATCTGGGAACAGCGTTGGCCTGGCTGCCTCGAGAGTGTGAGTCTGTCTCTGTCCATTAATCTGATGTACCATCCTCTCATTTCCTGCGTACGTGACAAGAAGCTTGCATTATACTCAGGCACCGGACCACTTTTTGCTGTTGTCAGTGCATCATACGGTGCATTCGCCAGCCGCTCAACACTCCCCACCACTTTTCCGGCGGCTTCGCCCGGCCTTCCCTGCATTTTAAACAGCAACGCAAGACAAAAGACACGAAACAAATGCCATGGCGCAAGAGAAAGAAAGATAGAGAGAAAGAGGGGGACCAGAGCCCGCCGACCGCAGAAATAATTCTCTGTGCCTCGTTTTGTTTGAGTACTGTATTACGTGTCTCGCATAGAATGTTGTGGCGCAGCTTTCGTTTCTTGCTCTGGCGTGTGAGCTTGGTTGCCGGATTGAAGCACAAAAGGACAATAAAAATTAGCGAAAACTCAGAAATACTGACATTCAGGCACGCCCAACGTGCGGAAATTATGTCATTCACTGTTTCGCGGAGAGCGACATTGCCGTAATTTTTCGAACTGCTGTACAATCTTCCTAGTACCGCAGCTGCGACTTCTGTCCTGCCCTGTTTTTTCGATGTTGCTACTGTTGCACAGCTGTCATGCACAATGCGTGCTGGAAAGCATCGTGGAGGAGCGGGGTTCTTCAGTCGGCAATCAACATTACCGTACATCTATGCGCCGCAGAATTGACCGGTCCAGAGCTGCGAAATTCAACAATAAAATCTTCACGCACACACACAAGCAGATTTATCCTTTGAGCTGTCGAGCCAGTCGTGTCCAGTCTTGGGGCGAGTACTGGCAAGCTGCTCTTTGCAATTCAAAAGTCATTGGAACATCCGGGCAATGGCTGAATTGTATCTACCTGATGGCAGCCCCACTTGACACTCTCCAAGAGTGCACGGTCTTCAGGACTCAGAGGGGTTCGGAGACAATGCAGATCCTCTTCCACATAACACCTCACCGCTGTGCTTTTCCAAGCAAAAGCGACTCTTGGCGAATTTAGAAGTCTGGGCTACATGAGGCCGGATCTTGTTGCAACTCGGGCGCGGCTTCAGAAGGCTAGTAACCACTGCAATGTCCATGTCCAAGTACCATCTGTTTATGATCCTCAGATCGGAAGCAACGGTCGACACTCATTAGCACACCTACGCCACTATTTCAACTTCTCATGTTCAACTCAAACCATGTGCTATGACAAAAAGGCCTCAAAGGAAGAACCCTAAACTGAGAGTCTCGGTTTTGCAGCAGGAGGAGGAGGAGTTCCGCTTGTCAGTATTATCATTACTAGTAAGTAGTAGTCATCGTCGTCGTAGCAGTAGTAGTAGGTGTAGGCGCAGAGGTATTTGTAGATTTGGCTCCCGCATTAGGTGGTAATTAGTAGCGAAAGTCGTAGCAGTAGACGAGTGCTGTTAGGGTTGAATCGTCCCATGAGCTCTTGTAGAGGTGCAGGTGACCGGTACAGCCCCGCTCAACGAACGTGCCCTCCAACACACCGCTTCACATGCTGTTGGACTCTTCTGCACAAGGCCTTAGTGTAACAGTGTATAAAGAGATTCCTGCTTGCTGGGCCACTTGCTATGTTCTGCTCGAAACCCCGTAGGCTTCTGCATTTCAAATCATTTAAAAAGGAAGAGGTCTGCAACCCAGGTTGTCACTAATTCCTGCGTGGACAGGACTTCTATTTGGGATGCGACGAAGTCGATGCAAATAGTAAATGCAGTGTGTGTGCGAGCTAAGTCTGGCGTGAAACAGTAGAGCAGGACGACATTTCAACATGAACTTCTTTTCATAACTACAGGCAGTATGAACATTAACTTCTCATAATGGCTTTTTCACGACGGTACAATGGCGTCAATAGCGAATTCAAAACAGTCAAAACAGTATCGATTGGTAACCGCCACAATTGCACCAAACACGAGAAGTCGCTTACAGCTGATGCTGTTTGCTCCAGGCGCCGTTCCGCAAATGACATGGGAACAACGGCTGAATCTACGAATCTACGGTATCCTTTGCTGAGGACCTTCAACCGTCAAGTAGTCAAGCATCTGGTAAACACTGGCGTTGTACTTCTTTGCGAGCTCGTCGGTTATTGACCTATGCAGGATATGCAGAGCCCCGACCACCCTCTGACACTTCACATGCGGAGGCCAGGCCTGTGCTCTTCAAACTGGGTTGGCTTATCAAGCCTCATCCAGTTGAAGGGGCCCCAAGCCTCAGACTCAGGTGTGGTACTTGCAACAAAGCCCTCTCCAACCTGTCCAAGAGGCGGCCACTGCCATTCCCTGGCGTTTTGCCCACATCGCCAGGTCGATCTGCTTCTGGGGCATAAACGGTGTTATCCATCCCCACATGATGTCTGGCTTGACACCTTCTCGGGAGTTGTGAGCGCGCAACTCGGCACGAAAGCCGATGCTTGTGCACTGAAGCTGGCAATGTCTTGACATGGACGCTTTAGGCTGCCCTTCTGCCTGTGGAGTTAATCAAATATTCGATTTCTTTCCGGGTGTGAAGACCAACCTCCGTGAGAGACATGCGAAGACAGGAGCTTTCTTGATTCAACATCCTCTCAATGTTGGTGTGCGGAACATGCCTGAATGCCGCAGAAAGACTGCAATGTGGCGGACCTTTCCAGCCCTTTGCATATCAATGAGTCCACGGTAAAGTTCTAGATTCATCTCCTGCGTGACATTACTCGCCCCATTGGGATCCTGTCGGCGGACATTCGTGACACCCCAATGGATGTAAATGTCCTCAGCAGGGGAGACAGTTGTTAGTAGAAGCAACTCACAGCATCAAAGCACATTAAACCAAAGTTCAAGTCTTGGCATTGGCTGCGGCTGCTACTGTATGGCAGTTTCTGGCTTTGTGCAGAGCGGTCGGATTGGTGCGGGCCAAGCGACGTCGGCATACGTGACGTTCAGCCGCTCAAGGCTTCCAGCCACTTGGTCAGCGACCCATGACCGGATGTTCTGCTTGGGAACACCGATGGGTTCCAAAGCTGTGGTGACCTCTAGGCATTGTTGCAATCATCTGGAAGCAGTTTGCAAACAGCCTGAGGAAAGTGCCCAAATCCGCTCTCTTGGAACGCCCGAATCTCGGATGGCTTGTCCCAGGGCTTGATCATTGCCATAGACTCAGTAGGCGCAAACCGGCGAAGCATGACGACTGCCATCGCAAACCAAATTGATGGCCAGTGGAGTGTCGATGTCCATCAACATGCCCAAGGCACTTGGCGCCGTCATGACGTGACGCCCGCCGGCGACCAAGTATCTTGCCACATGGTCTGCCGTCTCCCTCTCACTCTCTACAAACGACCGACATCTGAAAAGCAGTGTAGTCCCACCATTCGCAGCATGCCCTCGCGTCCCGAGACCTCTCTCGCTCTGTCTGGTGAATTCTCTTTCAACAGTGTGTTCACATTCAACACGCAGAAACCGTGCCTTGACGCGCCAGCAAGTTTCTGAATCAATGCGTGTTCTCTCTTCCACAGACCGTTTTGCAAGCGACCCCTTCTTCAAAGAACAGAAGACCATGCTACATAATGCTCCAACCCAGGAAAAAAGCCTTTAACCTGTCCGCTAGCTTCCACAAGGAGCAAATGCCTTCCACGACCCCAGAAACGTTTCCAGATCGAACGTGGTTTTGAAGAATCCAGCGCGCGAGTTGTTGCGACGACGCCTTTACAATCTGTACTGTTTGCAGGGCTTTAGCGGTGACAGACTGTTTTCTCTTTCGTCAGCTCAACTCTCCCACCCTAAATGGAGGCGAGCGTCGCATTGCTTTAAATCTGATTATACATTCTATCTCCCCAGGCTTTGTGAGTGCTCTTTCGGCTGCGGTGTCTGCACCGTGCTGTGGCCTCCTTGGACGATGTCGCTTTTGCACTCGGCTATAAAATCAGCGGGGTGCTGGCGCTTGGCGCTTCGGCTCTCCTGATTGCTGCGACGTCTGCTGCGCATCGTGCGTCGCTGGCGTTTGCCATCTTATTGGTCGGTCCTCGCTCTTGGCCTTGCGCTTCCTATCGGTGGTCGTCGTGGCTGACAGGATCCTGCGTCTCCTCAAGATCTATCGTCGTCGTGGCTGTTCCACGCTTGTCTCCTTGGTTTTCTTTCGGTTTCCTTATTAGTAGCAGTGAGCTTGAGTCATACCAGAAGGTCGATCATTAAATCTGGATCGCTTTGGGTTCTGAGTTGGGGTAGCATCGGCAAACCAGCTGCGTTTCGACAGGGCCATGGTCAGGGGAAGAGCAAGCGACTTTTGAAAAAACACACCTCGTGTGAATGCCCTGGCTCCCCGCTCTCAGGAAAGGCCGGTGGAAAGCCCCGACGAAGCAGCGCAGCGACAACACAGCTACCAAGTCAGAAACACAAGATGCTCTACTGCATGCTGAACCCTAGGACCCCAACTTTGTAGCACCCTCCCTTCTCGTGCTGTCCATTCACGGCGCAGGCTTGGGCGCGGCTCATTCGCAACTGGTGCGCACTGGACTGTTTCACAGTGTTCTCCTGTGACTTCTGCCGTGCAGGATTTGGTGTCATCAAACGCCTCTGTTACACTTATACACTGACTCTACGTATGGGCGAACTCACGCCTCGCAGCAGCTGCGCGAACATTTGCGCTGTCCGTGTCCCTCTGCATGCCTTATTTGCTGCACGTCTGCACATGTCGGGCGAGGACTTTCAACTTGCTCTGCAATGCCTCATGTCTTGGCCTCTCTAGATGCTAAACGTGCGTTAAGGGCGCGGCAGCACCCGATGTACCCGAGAATCGGGAGACCGTGTGCAGAGCCCGGCACCGGCATAGTGTCGGTGCAGACGCCCGCGCGCCTGACAGCCAGCAGATCCAGCACGTGATTAGTTTCAGTTTCTTTGCAGCTGCTTCTGGTTCTGAAGGCTGGAAGCATGACGACTCAATGCGAAGTCCTTGCTGTGTCGTTAGGAAGTCGGGCTATCTGCATTTCTCTTCTGACAGAACTGCAGTAGCTTGCGAATTGCTGCCGAGTCAATGCGAGCAAACATACACCGTGAGTCCGGAATGTCCACGCAAAGCCTGCTCTCTTTCAAGCTTGCACTTCGTGGGCCCCACCAAAATTGGTTAGTTCTCAGCAGCCGAGCCTGCTTTCCTCAGCCGAGAGCGGAACTTCGTCCACGGACCTGGCAGGTCGTGGCACAAGGGATAGCCGAATTGTCGACAGCAGATCACCACAAAGCCATTCTTTCGAATCGCGAGCCCAAGCCGTAGGCCACATTTAGTCGAGGTTCCGTCTCCGTTGGAGGTGCAGTGCTTTTTGCACCAGCGAGAGTGACGGGGGAACTGAGGGAACTTCACCTGGCAACCACAAGTTTTGCGAGTCATGGCAGCAGAAAGGGCACTCACGATCCTTGAGGGCTCCAGGAACTCTAGAAGGAGTGTCACTTCTGAAGTTCAAGCTGCTCACTGCAGGCTTGAGTTGCATCGGAATCGTAGACCAGCGTGATCCTTTTTTGTAGCTGCAGTTTAACAGTCCAAGGAGCATTCGCCGACAGCACCAGCGTCGAAAGCACCAGTACATCTGAAGTCGCTTGCAGTCAGCCATAGAAGTGGGCCAGCTGCCCACCAATGCACACCCATGGCTAACAGGCCGCTATGATCGGGATTACATGGAGAGTTTCGGTTTCCTGCTCCTGGCATGACACAGTGAAGATGGCAGCAGCAATGCGTGATGCGCAACCCTGGCAGCAGCAGCAGTCTGCGTGTGCTGGGGGCATGGCAGAAGGATGAACTGCCGCGAGTCATCGCCGAACCGAGTGAAGTCCCACACGACCAAGATGGACCCGGCCTCACAATCTGACATGTGCTCACAACCTAGATCTGCACTGTTCCCTTTTGCATGCACCTGATATGCAGCCAAAGTCAGGCGGTGATGGCATGAGAGCCTGCCCGAACGAACTTCACAAGCTCAAGACTCAAGCGAAGCTGCATGGCCCAGCAGCCCCCGAAAGCCTGCAACTGCCACTGCCAAGAACTGTCAGCAAGGTGAAGCTGCCCATAGGCCTGGAGGCACAAGGCTAAGACGCGACTGCCTCTTGTTTCTTTGCACAGGTCTGACGGGGTGGCCGTTCCCGCTTCTCTTCTTTCTTTATTTCTGTTGGGCTTCATGTGTTATGGGGCATCTTTCCTTCGCCAGGGCTAGGGACAAGAGGGTTGCCCCCCTTTCCCGGGCCTCTCTCTCTCTCTCTCTGCTCTCTTTTCTTTCTTTCTGCTGCGCTTAGGGGTCCGCTAGGGACCCTCAGGCCTTGGGCCCGCCCGACCACCCGCTGTTTTAATGAGTGGCCGGGTAGCCCTTTGTACAGTGCTTGCGGTGTCTTAAAACTCTCTCTCTCTCTCTCTCTCTTATACACATATACATATTATAGATACATAACTTGTCCACACACACACGCACCCACACGCACGCATATTCTGCCCACTGCAATGCTCAAGCCCGCAGCACTGCTGGACCATTGACATTGGAAGGCAGACTCGCGCACAGCAACACGGCCTGGGTGTCTCTGCAGCCGCTCACCGCAGCCAGACATCGTCCATGAGAGGCTACTACCGTATCACCACCAGAACACACAGTAGATGCTAGCTAGCAGTGCCGCTACTCTGACCTGCAAAGAAGACTTGCTCTGAGTGCATTTTGGGGCACAAAAATGTCGTCTCTCTCGTCTTGGGAAAAAAGAAAAAACAACTCTGGAGCTGGCTGAGCTCAGGGCCACTCGGGTTTTAAGGATTCTCTGAATTCGGTGCAGTGCTGATAAGCCAAAGCAAAGCATTGCAGAAGTTCACAGCTGGTTCTGAAGAGCCCTGCTATGTCGGATCTTCGCAGCGCCATCTCCCATTGTCTATTTTCTCTCACATAGCCAGAACCGGTACTTGTCGCTTCCATGGCGCACCCTTTCTGATTCAGCTGCGCGGCCTGCATACATCGCATCTCATCCATTTTCGCTCTACTGTAGCATGTGGCAGCAGCTTCGACTAGCTTCGACTGCGCTCACCATGGACATGTCCCCATTCCTTCGGTGAGTCTCCAGATTCGACCCGTTTTGAGCTGTCAGTTTCATGCGTGACGAGATGCCGCAATCCGACGACGAACTTCATACTAACATGCCCAGCAGTGCTAGCGCTGCCACCACTAGGCCTTTGCAACTTGGCACTGTTAGATCTGGGTTCGGGGCGGGTGGCTTTCGGAGGGTGTAGACCTTGCACCTGACAAGCTGCAGCACTCAAACAATTTGCTCATGGAAGCCGTTGATTACGGCGATCCGTCACGACAGTGCAGCTCAGTGACTGGGTCCAGCCCTTGTTATCAAACGGGGTGTCATCCTCCACAGCTGGCCAGCTGAAACAGGCACCACACGCATTGAACATCTAATACAAGGAACCTCCAGAATCAGCCGTCCCTCCTTCTGCATGTACTGCAAGACTTGATCTGAGAGCACAAAAAGCATGCTCGTGCACGAGGCATTGACTGGCATGCGACTGGGCTCGGCTCTTTGTTTCTGTGACTGTCTGCAGTGGCCCGTGTCATCCACTTCAGCGCTATGCACAGCGAAATCATCACTGATGGGGCTTCAACTCTCGAAGTGCTTGGTGCAGATCGTGACAACCTGCAGGGGCCCATTGGCATCATTGTCTCGGATGTCTGAGGTGGCATGGAGTGGATGCACAGTGCGCTCAGGGCCCGTGCCAGCGCAACACCTGCAAGCAGCGCAGAACACCACGCCGCAGAGTTCAAGTCTAAAACACACAGACGGAGATTGCATATTGCTATCTAGAACAGTCTCCTTCACAATCCGTCGTCAGACATGAATGCCCCTATAGACTGCAGGAAGTTGTCACTATAATTCTAATTCTGACGTTTCCCCTGCCGATGTTCAATATGTTTTTCTTGGCATGTCCGTGGCGGCGCTGTCCACTGAGCTGTGCCCTGTACAAGGTGGCTCACAGCTGGGCCAACCCGGTCTCCTCCGGAGATCTCCGCCATCAGCAAAGCGCCCCGCCGGCGCTTCGGGCAAACAGCTGCGTGAAGAAGAACTGTCCAGAGGAGGACTGCGCAACACCTCGATGCAAACCGGATCACACCTGATCTTGCTACTAATACAAGACATCACAGGCATGCAAAACATGGCTCATGGCCCAGGAACCGATTCCACAGAGGTCGAAAGCACCCAACAAATTCTTGCGATGGCCCGGCGACTTGATCCAGCCCTGCGTGGGCGCCGGAATAGGCAGGTGACATGAGCTACTCAAAGTCACTGCTTCCGCTCTCAGTCTCTCGCTACCCCAACCTGGACCGCAACGCCGGCTGTATCAGCCACGCCGCTGTTGTATGCCAGGTTCCTGGAGCCACTGCTCTAGTACCGACGGGCTCAAACAGACGCGATGGCGATGTACAACAGCACTTTTCCTGGATTCCCTTCAAACTGTCAGATTGATGGCGATACTGCGCGTGGTCGCAGCCAGACATCACGACTGAGAGAGAGGCAGCGCAAAAGAAAACTTTGTGTAAAAGCAGCACTTCTTGCCGGTGGGAAGTGAGCGACGTGGAGTGCCTCTAGATGCAATCCAAGGATCTCCGCCGCACTCAGGTGAGGAATCGGATAGCGACTCACTCGATCCGAGAAGCCGTCATGGCTGAAGGGCATCTCACCTCCGGACCCATGCAACACATGCACTCTTTCTGGACTTGTGGCCGCGACGCCGTCATCCTGACACCCTGACCGAGACTCAGCAAACTCCGCTTCTGCGTTGGTGGGAGAGTGGCTGAATGAAAATCGGATTGTCTGCAGGAGAAGCCATTTAGCTCGAACTGGCAAGGCAGTGCTGAAAACGTGATGGCACAATCGAGGCCCACCTCGAGCCATTTGCCGAGCGTGCTCTGCAGCAATGTCAGCAATGCCCTGGCACCACTTCCTGAAGCTATGATATGCCAGGGACCAGGGATGATCATTGCCCCATGCCGCATAAAATCTCGACAGCATATATTCCACAACTGATCCGAAACTTGGGAAGGAGCAATCCCGTGCAGCCGTGCGGATGGGGCACAACGGCGGCATCCTCTCGGAACCCCGGAAAATGTTGGTCTCGTCCAAAGCCCGACGACTCAAGTAGTTCGGATCGTAACTGCGTGACACGAGCTGTCCTTGCTTCAGGGTCGATTCACAGAACAAGCTAAAACATGTTATCCTGTTGTCCATTCCATCCACTTCGTCACAGCAGTTGTCTACAAAGACAGCCCAGGTTCCATAGGACGACGCTTGCCCCAGACTGGCCTCGTATTCCTTGGCATACCTCAGCAGCAAATTTGGGAGTGCAATGGAGTGCATGCAAGGCGAATGACAAAAGTGCCGGCACGAGGCAGTGGCATGTTGCCAATGGCCTCTTCCACACGCATGTTCTCGAGATCCTGTAGATTAAACCTCGGCCGCATTCTAGCACATCCTCGCTTGCGTTCTAAAGAACCCAGACAGCTGTCTTTGCTGAGATGCTCTCGCTTTCCAGGGAAGCGTTCCGAGAGCGGTCGCCAGTTGGCATCAGTTGCACGAGACTGAAGGCTATACACCGACGGATTGGGCTGCCGTCCTGCAAGCGTGGGGGAAGTGCGCGCTAAAGGCTAGAGCACGCTCCCTTTAACGCTTCGACTGCTGCCCAGATCCTGCAGCTCGCATGGCTTCCTGGAAGCCTCGCGGGTCGCGAGCTCGACGAGCATGCACTTCTGCAAGCAGATCACCTAGCCAAAAGCGTCTCGCCAAGGCATCTGCACCCGACAGCTGATCAAGGAGACCGGTGCGAGTCACGTGCAGTGGAAGCAATTTCGGAGGACATTGGTGATGTTGGTGCGTCCACTGCTTCGCCGAAGCTGCTCTTCACCTCCACTGGGCCACTTCTGAGATTCTGGCTTGGATCAAATCCCACAACATTTCCCCCACCTCGGGCATGGCAGCACAAACGCTGGGTATCCAAGAGTCTGGAGCACGTAGAACTTCATCTATCAGGGAGAATGCGCCTGGGCCGAGCTTTGCTGCTCAGCTTTGCTTCCGTGTCGACTGCTGCACATGCTGCACAAACAGGCAATCCAGGCCCGGCTACGTTCCATCCGCTGCGACATCGGGTTGGCAGAACCCACCGGCAGCCGCCATTCCAAACACGGCTCACGGTCGAATGCGCTTGTCCAAAAGTCGCCTTGTTGAAAACCTGAGTGGCCACGAGCAACACAAGCTGGCATGCTCTCTCTTCGCTGCTTTCACCGGGTCACCAATCTTCCGAAGAAGTGAGACGGCCTGCGCAAAGCGCCCGATCCTTTCTTTGAACCGGGGGTTCTGAATCCGGATTTGCCTGCCGTTCAAGCACTACGGGAAAGGCTGAACGTTCACCGCTCCAATGCCTGACTCGGCGAGACTCAGGATCTGCCAAAATGTTCCTCAAGATCCGGTGCCTGCAAAGCAGTCAAAGGCTTCATGTGTGGCACCGATTCGGCTCACACCAACTGCGATTGTGAATTATTAAGTAGGTGCAGCTCAGCAAAGTGCAATGCTTGAAGGCACGACAGGCGATGCAAAGCAGGGATTGTGAGCACTCGCAGCACGGCCAAAGCCACTTCTTCATCCTAACAGCCCATGTCAGAAACTGCCGAACGTGGTTGTTGTTTCTACTATGCCATGCAGCTGCGCGAACAAAAGCCAACTCAGCACCCCGGTCCTCGCGAGCTTTCAACATGGCTGGAGAGATGTCGATATCGTCATCATGCTGATGCTTTTCCAGCCTCAGAAACAGTGGTTCAGGGTCCAGGAAGAAAGACTAGCTGTGCCACGTGAGCGAAGGGTGTTGAGGATCAAACCATTCCACTGCGTCTTCAAGGTCTGCACAGCCAGCATCCAGCGCTTTCCGAGCTCGCACGGTGGAGAACTGCAAGTCCAAAAGCTCTGCGTAGAGATCTCGCCTCGGACTCAGAGACATACGCACATCCTTTCGGGCTTCCAAGTAAGAGGGGCGGCTGTTCCAGCGTCCAAGTCGGATCTGCTTCGACACAGGCCTTGCTTAGTGACAGCGGCCAGCAAGTAGCTGCGCGAAGGCCGCTCGGCCTCCGAATCTTCTTCTTGTGGTCCTTCTGAATCAGAGACAATGCCTCTTTTCGCTGGTTCTTCCTCAAAAAGCGTGTCCAGCTCCTCGCAGATGGGGCAAGGACGACCCCGGAGCTGGTGCACGAAGTGGAAATGCCTGGTCGGCCTGGCCTCTTCTCGATCGCAGCACTGCGGGTCCGCATCCACCCAAGTGCCAGATCCGGTGGCATAGCACCTTAGCATGTCACCAGCCAGGAAGCGAAGACCTTTAGATGTCACTGTCGAGACGTCGTGTGCGAGTACGGCTGGGCCACAGTGGGTCCTCTGACACTTCTGCCACAGACAGGCTTCCGGGGATCACCTCCCGTCGGGTGCTCAAAGAACGCACCGGGCAACTTTCAGCGATCATGCCTCCACAACCTCCCCAGTGGCTGGGGGAGGACTGGCTGTTGCCCCATCCTCGTTGCTGACGACTGCCTGGGTGGACTCCCAGCAACAAGTCTCTCAAGACATGTTTCAAAGAAAGGCAGCATGTACCAGCGGCAATGAAGTCTGAAGCGTCTGCGATTTGGAGGCTAACTCAAGGGAATCAAAGACCGCACATGCAAAGAGCAGCTGGTCTTGCTTGTATTTCCTTCGCATTGACCCCGGTTTTGAGGGTTCAGCAAGCCAAGCATGCGTCGAGGCTTGCACCTCTTGACAGATCGCATGGGCTGGCACGGCACAAGTCACGAAACAGCTCTTTCCACCCGAGATGTGTCCTTGCACTTTCCGTTGCGCCTCGAGACGTCAAGTCTCAGGTGAAGCAGCCGAACGCAACAGATCAACTTTGATGGATAGGGGCTCTTATTCTCAGCAATTTTCTGCACAGGTTCAGCAGTGGTAACTGGTCGCATCCAGCCTTGTCACGCTCACTGGGGTCATGCTATCTTTCACGGGGATTTGAGACTTCCATGTTCGTCTGGGCGAAGCGAATCATTTTTGTGAGATGATCCGTCACTCACCGGAAGGCAGCGCATCAGGAGTCATAATTGTCTGCTGTATGCAGCGGTGATCGTTGCACAAGTCCCGGGCGGATCCGCATGGTTCGGACAATACATGAGGAAGTCTGAAAACCTCCCTTCGCAGCTTATCTGATTGAAGAAGTCCCAAAGTGCAGTCATGCCCTGATGCCAGGTTTAGTGAAACGAATCCCGCCCCAGAGTTCAACAATTGAGTGAGTCAGTTCGGCTCAAGAGCGCCTGCCAAAGCTGCACGGGATCCACGGCTGCCTCCTCCGCGGGCGAAGAACCCGCGGCAGTCTGAACTCGAAAGGCAATCCTAGGCTGGGAGTGCATTGAGCAGTCAATCTGTCAGGATGGCTCTCTTCTTTGCACTGGTGCGGGATTTGCTCGTAAAGCAACATGCTTTCTGTTCCTGCTAGCTCCTATGAGCCTTCAGCTGGCCAGATGAAGACACTCCCGCTATCCTTGCAAGCCTCTGGCTGCCCCATGAAACGAAGAAGAGTCTCTCTCCCTTTTCGAATGCCCGGAGAAGAAGCACCGCATCGCTTGGCACTTTGAATGCCTCTCTGAACATGAAGGATCTGCACACGAGTGCCCCAAGAGATTCCGATGGATCCCGAGCCTTGTCATACTCCTGGCCCTGGAACTGGAATCTGACAGCAATGACGTGACCATCCTCACCGGCACCTTCGATCCTTGGCATCTTGGACCGAAATATGGCACGGCGGCCTTCGGCTCCAGCCTAGACTCCTGTACACTAGCCGAGACTTCGTGCAGCTTGCTCTGCCTGCTTCGAAGTCTCAGGTGCTCTGCGCCGTGCGCAATTTCAACCTGCTGCATGCCATTGCCAGGTGGCTGCGGCGTTAGGAGCCGAACCTCGTGCCAACGTGCTAGATCTCCGAAAACTGGCGACGGTGTTGCAACTCTGAATACGGCACGGCACGGAGCAGCCCAGACGATTTCGCACCCTGCAAGTAGATGCTTTGCTGGAGCTGCCACCCATCTCTGAGGCGCATCAGCCCATGCTCAGGCAAAAGCTGCATCAACATCGACCACGGAACCAATAATCTGGTACAGTACTGCTTGAAGCTTTCTTCATACAACATGTTCGATTCATTCCCGCTCACGAGGCGTTGCTGTTTTAAAGCTTCACAAACTGCGCAGGGAAGTCAAACCTTCAAGCTGAGTTGGGTTAACGCCGAACGACTTGCGTGAACTAGCAAGCTAGCATGTCTTTTGGACCCGTACGTGGCATCGGCAAGCTCCTGTGGACTAGCCTCCATTGATCGTGTAAAGTTCCAGCCCTGGAAACCCAGGCCTCCGGGTCGTAGAACGCGTGCCCACTCGCACGCCTAAAGGCAAGAGACGCCAGAAGGTGAAGACTCAGCAAACTCTTAGACATACCGCAACCATCCAAAACATCCTGTGGAGAAGACCCAAGCGTAAAGATGCTGCCGCACGTACGTGTGCCTGGGAGCCGTTGTGTTTGTGCTGGCACACACACATGGCATCAGCTGGCCTGCTGTGGCGTTGCCCCCAGGGCCTGAGATGGGACTCCGCAACCATCCGCAACCACTCGGAGGCTCAGCAGCTGACGGGTCAACGAGGATGAGGTCGACTGCGTTGCTTCCGATGGGAAGCATCCGACTGGACCTCGAGGTGTGGTCGATGCTTGGAGATTCGCCCCTTACTCTGCATGCGTCAACCAGCTCACATGCTTCACATTCACGCACCCCACCGCCCCACTGTTTTCTACTGCCTCTACTGCCCGATGGCAGCGAGAAGCAGCTTCAGCTGCTCAGCCCGCCAGTCGACATCATGCCGAGTGGTGGCTCTTTTCGCAATATGTGCGTTCTCTTTCATTTCTTGCGCCGCATGTCCATATGCTCAACTCAACGCTCCGAGCTGTCGTTGTCACCTTGTTCTTCACTGGCACGCTCTCTGATCATCCTGGGTATCGCACAGGCAACACAAAGAGATGTAACGTCATTATCTTTCTTTCACTCGCGGTTAGTCTAGTAGTTCTAGTGTTCTAGTGCCTTGCGAAGAAAAAGAAACAGCCAGACCGTGGTGAATATCCGAGCATCTCCTGTAGGCTTGCCCTCACCCCCTCAATGTCAGCGCCGGAGGCACACAGCATACAAACCATCTCCGTACAGTTACCGCTCACGGCCATGTGGAGCGGTGATAGGCCTTCTATTCCCTTGTTGACATCTGCCCTTGCCCTGCACAGCTCGTAGATGACGTCCGTGCGTGCCTCCTCTGCAGCAATGAAAAGTGCCGTCCTTCCCTGCGGGTCCGTTCGGTCGAGGTCGAGACGAGCTTGGCTAGCTTGGCTTTCGCAAAGCACCCTCACCACCTCCGAATTTCCTTCCTGGGCTGCAGCCATCAGCGGGGTTTGATGTCTGCAAGAGATTTCGGGATCAGCCCGGTTGCGCAGGAGACTGTACACCAAATCGTCATGACCATAGAAGGCCGCAAGGTACAAGGGCGTGGCGCCAACCTGTAGGTCGACCTCCACCGCATACATCGCAGCATAGCCAGCATCGACATCAGCCCATCCGCGCAGCATGTCTTCCTCGAAATCGTCTGCATCCGCACCATCGAAGTCCTTGTCTTCAGGCTCCTCGACGTTGGCTGTTGCCGAGTTGCACGGGTGCAGACACTGCACACTTTGTGCTGCCAAAGCGAGATCAACTTTATCCACATCCTGGACAAGCCTATTCAAGTCGCAACGACGGAGTTCGAAAAGGCAGTCGGCAACTTTTGACTGGCCATTTCTGGCAGCCACATGTAAAAGAACGCTGCACAGCTCGATGTCTTGATGCTCGGAGTCCTCGCAAAGGACTTTCATCACGGCGGGGTTGTCTTGCAACAAGGCCATGAGGAAGGCGTTGTTGCCTTCCTGGAAGTTGCCTTCCTGGATGCCAACACATGTATGCTTGTCGGCTCTGGCATCCAATAACATGCGGACAATTTCAGGATGGTTCCACCAGCAAGCAAAATGAAGTGGTGTGTGGCCCTTCGTTGAAGGCTTATCCACCCATGGCCGATGCTGAAGGAGTAGCTGTACTAAAGGCGCATGTCCTCCAGAAGCCGCAATGTGCAGGGCAGTCGCCCCGAAGTCAGTGTTTGCCCGATTTATTGACGACCTGTGCTCAAGCAAGAGCTGTGCCATGTCCAAGTTGGAGCTTTGGGGAGCGACCTCGGCTGCCATGAGCAAAGCAGTTGTCCCATTCTGCTTCGCAGCGTTGATGTTGCAACGAGATCCCAGCAAGAGGCGCGCAGTCTCGACTTGGTTATGCTCAGCTGCTGCGATTAGTGGTGTTTTCCCATCTTTGGTAGACTTGTCGATCTCCGCCTTGACCAGCAGAAGCTCAACAACGGTGGGGGAGTTGTCAATGTCGTCGGTTGCTACGGCCGCCAGCAAGGGAAACGTTCCATCGTGAGCCTCCAGGTTGACATCAGCACGCTTCTGACAAAGGTATTCCACGATCTCGGCTTGGCCTTCCCCTGCTGCAGATTGGAGTGCTGTGACCTGGGGTGCACGTGAGAAGTTGATGTCCGCACCGGCCTCACAAAGGATTCGCACTGACTGGGTCAAACCGGTACTCACGGCACACAGCAAAGGCGTAGTAAAGTCGTCCGCACATCGGTTCGCATCAGCTTGGTGGCGCAACAGCATGCTCACCACCTCAATCCGGTGGTGTAACAAAGCGACGAACAACACAGGGGTACCAACATCGGAATGCAAATGCGTGTCAGGCATCGTTGCGAGCGTGTGTCCTAAGCAGGCATTTGCAGATTCCGTTGCCAGCATAATGGCTGAAAGATGTGCCGGGAAGCACTTCATGTTGGGGTCTGCCTGACTTTGTAGGAGGTGCTCAACGATTGGCAGGAAACCCCTTCTGACAGCAACCGGCAGAGGGGCTATTCCACGAGAGGTCGTCAAGCATTGGTTTGGGTCAGCCCGCGCGGCACACAGGAGCTTCACAAGGCCTTCGTGGCCGTGTTCGGAAGCCAAGAGAAGTGGCGCTGCTCCAGACCCTGTGGCCTTGTTTGCATCGGCCCTGGCTTCCAGGAGGCTACGGCAGGTCTGGACGAAACCATACTCTGATGCCATTGTCAGGGTCGTGTCCTCCGTGGCGTCTTCCCGGACTTGGTCCAGGTTTGCTCGGGCGGCACAGAGTGTCGCAACGATGTCGTAGTGATTGTGCAATGCAGCGGCCAGCAATGGAGGCTGTGGGACATCACTGGTGGGCTGATTTAGATCCGCACGGTACTTGCATAAGAACTGTACAATCTCTAGCTGCCCACTCTCTGCAGCCAGATAGATTGCCGTGGCACCCATGTCTGTCAAGCGCCTGTTAACATCAGCATGAAGATCGAGCAAATACTTTGCAACTTCAAGATGTCCCTGCTGAGCTGCCACAATGAAGGGCGTCGCCCCATCTTTTGCCCCAGTCTTGTCAACCTGGGCTCCAGCTTCATAGAGAACCTTCACGGCCTCGAAATGCCCAAGCAAGGCGGCCATAAACATCGGTGTGGCACCAACGTGCAAAGAGACTTCGGGGTGTTCCCGTTCCACTTCGACCTCAGCCGGCACGTCTTCATCCGCCTCCGGCTCCCTCGGCTCCCTCGGCTCCCTCACCCGTGGCGCGGCATCCCAGGCCTCAGGCTTTACCTTCACTTCCTCTCCGTTGTCTTCGGCCCACTCATCTTCTCTCATCCCTTCTCTACTCATGTCCGCATCAAGCTCATCTTCACAAGGTGGCTGTGTCGCTTCATGCAGTTGATCAAGAGCGTCCTGTGTCACCATTTCGTTGACATTTGCTCCGCACTTGCACAAGCGCCACACAATCCCCTCGTGGCCATTGCGTGCAGCGACATGCAGCAGGAGCGCGGTCTGCTTCAACATCTTCGCCTGTCGTTTCGGGTCCTCCTCACAGAGCACGTCCACAACATCGGAGTGACCACAAAGCACGGCCATCATCAAGGGTGTGCTGCCAGTCCTGGCCGCACTGGCATGCTTGTCCGCCCGGGCCTGGCACAAGAAGCGCACAGCCTCCGGCTTGTTGCTCAGCGATGCCAGGTGGAGTGGCGTGGCACCGATGCTGGTCCCGCGGGCCAAATCTGCTCGGCTCTTCAAGAGCCTGTCCATCATGTCCACATGACCATGCATGGCTGCCACGTGCAGGGGAGTAGCACCGGTGGATGAGGATCGATGTACATCACAACGAGCGAGGCAGAGGATCTTGGCAATCTCTAGGTACCCACTCTTTGCAGCAACGAAAAGCGGTGTCTTGTTTCCGAACTTGCTGCTGGTTTCTGTGTCCGGCACTGCCTTGGCTGTGCAGAGAGTTCGCACAACTTCAGTGTGGCCATTGAGGGCGGCCATGTACACTGCGGTTGCACCACTGGCTGGCGATTTGTTCAAGTTTGCACCCATTTTGCAAAGCAGCTTGACCACATCGGCATGACCCTGCGACGAGGCTATGTGAACTGCGGTGGAATCCAATTCTCTATCCGAAACGTCCACATCCGCTCTTGCGTCGCAGAGTATCTGTACGCATGCCATGTGACCGTATGTCGAAGCTGCTAACAAGGGCGTCAGCCAACCGGTTTTGTTCAGCCTTATATTGACGCTTACGCCTTCTTCAACGAGGACCTTCACAACGTCTGCGTGACCACTTCTTGCCGCAATGTACAAGGGTGTTCTTCCGCTGTCCGGCAGTGCTTGACCAGCATCAGCTCGTTGAGCACAAAGAGCCTGGACAACTTCGGCAAACCCGTTTCCTGCAGCCAGGAATAAAGGCGTAATTCGTGCTTCCAACTCACCTTTTCCGTGAGAGGCGCATATTGTGGCGGGCTTTCTTGTGGCTACGTCAGGTTGAGCTCGAGATCTGAACAGGTGGAGCACCATTTCCAAGTCTCCGTTCTTTGCTGCAGCATGCAACGGAACCAGACCAGTATCCGTCGTCAGGTTGACGGCTGCTCTGGCAGCACATAGAACACGCACTACATCCATGTGGCCGGACTCGGCCGCATGGAACAGTGGAGTCAATGCAGGCCCGGCGTTGATGTTGCAACGGGCTTCGCACAAGAGCCGAACAACTCCAATGTGCCCACCTGAGCTGGCAAATGTGGCTGGCTCAGGGTCTTGTGGCTCGGGTGCCCTCCTTGTGGCTCAAACAAGATCTAAGATCTAGTCAATCTTTCTGAGACCTTTGTTCTTCGTTTCCAGGCATCTGGATTCCATATCACCAGAAAGCTCGTCCTGAATTCTTGTGCCGGGGATCACGAGGCCGCCGAATACAGCGGGGTTGTCTTCACAGTGTGCATTTTGCTCTCCTCCGATCCTGCAGCAGCCATCACCTCCTGTCAGTCAGACTCAGTCATTGGCTTTTCACCGCTCTGGCCCCATTGGCTAACTCTGCGCATGAAGGACCACAGTCACACCAAGTGTTACCGAATCGTCTCTCATTCTAGTCATCTCGGTAAAACGTCACCGGTTGGTGCAGGCGGATGAATTCAGCACGCCTTGTCTGCCCCAGCTTTCAGCAGGAGCCGCACGCTGATCGTTTGACCTGCACCAAAGCGTTGGAAGGAACTGCTATGGTGAATCATGTGATGCAAGGCCGACGTCTTTGGACTTTTCTGCCGGATCACCTGCTTTCGCCGCAGTGTAAAGTGGATTAATCCCGGTATGGAGTTGTCGATTGACTTCTCCCTCCTTGAGATATCGAAGCGCGATCTTGTAGTCGACGTCCTTGGAGCCCGGATTGCAATGGCTGCTAATCAACTTGCAATGCTGCAAAAGGCCGTCAAAGTGCAGCTGCGCCACGCCCTTGGACTGAAAGCGAGCCACGAGCTCTTCGTTGCCCGCAGCCAGGGCTCTTGCGAAATGCGAGGCCAACTTCTCCGCTCTGATTCGCCAAGTTCGCAGCTTGAGTTGCTGGCGGAAGAACCTTCTATGCAGCAAGCGGGCAAACTCATGACAGGTCTTGCAGCGCTGAATTTCCGTGCCGTCGCGCCTCTGCAACTTTGTCGCTGCCTTCTCTCTGCGAGGTTGCAGATGTTGTCGCAGCAGAGATCTCTGCAGAAGCAAGAGCGCCGCTTCCTGAAGACTGCCCCGAAGCTTCTCCATCTCGCGGCGTCCCTCATCCCTCAGCGACCAGTCGATTTCTGCTCTGCTTTTGGAATACCGTTCGTCGTGGGGCCCTGCACATCCCTGCACCTGATGTTCGCCCCTGGCTGCGAGCAACTCTCCACACAAACCGAGAACCCAACCAACCGCGGAAACTAAGCATTGGGCATAGCAAAAGTTCCACTCCAGCCCTCAATCCGAAAGCCCAACCGGAACCTAGGTCTGGGCGAATCTGAAAGCCCTGGCTAAGCCACAGATAGCCACAACATATGCGCCTTTGAATGAATTGTCCTAGCAGCTTGACACTGATTTATAGCATCCGCTTCCACTTTACAGATCATTCATGGCAAGCCAGGGGTCACCCTCTCTTGCATCTGCGCCAGCCGTTCCTTAGCTTTCCCAGCTGCCGCGCTACCACTCGGTTGCAGTTGCAGCCGGATCACTTCGTTCTCATGGACGGAGCTCTCCAAGGCCTACAGTTGTCTATTCGCGGAAGCCCAGGGCCGACATCTCTGGACAGAGCACAAACTCTCATGCTGCAAGGCAACGTCAAGTGCGAAGCGGCCAGCTGGCAATGCCCGATCGCATGACTTTTCCTTGCCCTTGCCGTTGGCCCTGCCAGTGGTGTGCCGCTGAACTAAGTAATGTGAGTGCATTGATTTCCTGGGCCTCTCCACCCTTTGCTGCAGCTTTTTCTGCACCATGGCTGCCACCGCAGCATGGGTCTGCATGTGATCAGTTCCTTAGAGAAGGATTCCAGCTTTGGAGGACTTGAAAGGCGCTACAGGATCAAAAATATCAAAGTCTCCCTGGTCTCCCTCCGCTTGATTGAAGACTGCAGTGACTGCAGCCTGCTCCGCTGATGTGCTCGCAGATCCACGCTGCCTGCCGGCATGCATTCAACGAGATCCTACAAGTAGCAAGCGTGGTCCCAGCGTGGTTCTCATGGCCTGAGAAAGCGTTCCACGGCAACGCGAAATGGCTGAATCCGCAGCAGTTTGGTATGGGCCAAATCGTCACCCACACAGGGCGATAGCCTCGGCTGACAACAACTACTTGTCACTTGTCACCAGAACTACAGTAACTGCAGTCCTGCGAGGAGCCAGCTCTACATGAGCCGTGCACAAAACACCTGCGAGACAAATGGCTTGTTGCCCTCCGCAATCCACTGCGTGATGGAGTTCCGGTCATAGATGTGCCCATCACACACAAGCACAGGATCTTCCATCGGCTCCAGCGAGATTGGACAATGATCAACGGGCCGGTTGTTTGCATCATGAACCGTCGTAAACCTCAATGCCCGCTGCGGCCCGGCCAGCTGCTGGCGGCTGGTTTCGGCCGATTACATCTGCTCGCTTTACGTAGCTTACGACGCACGTCCTACGTTTCAATGACCCAGATGGCTGCCGCTAAGTCTCTTCCATCCGTCGAGCTTCCTGACATGGTCAAGGAAACGGATGCAAGATTGCAACATGGGGCCATGGCTACGGCACCACTGACGTCAAGTTTCCAGATGCGCGCCATAGCTGTGGCGACGGTCTTTGGCTCAAAGCTCGCGGAGAAATCCCACACACGAGCCATGGCAACGAAGGCTCGATTAGCTCCTCTCCTCGACTTTGGACTCTCTGTCCCTTGCTCGCGCTGCAAGATTCGATACGCGTGTAGCCTCTTTCGCTGAGTGCTTCAAGAACAAGTTGATGGCATGAGCTTGTCACGACCTTCATCATGGCCTACCCCCCATTTATCTTGACATACTATACTTGTTGAGCATGCGGCGACAAGAAGCTTTGCAGATGCGAGTACAATTAGCCAACGAACCGCATATAGCTGCACTATAGGCTTGGACCCAGCCAGGAATTCTGGTGCCAGTGTTCGCCAGCCTCCAGGTCCAATGCTAAGTTCTCTGATCAAGCCGGAAGGATCTGGGCGCCGATTCTGGACTGCAGGCTTCAACATGCCGAGCCTTGCCGGGAAGCATTGGATCGAGCATGTTCAAGGCTTTCCCGCTCGGCATCTACCTAGCAGAAGCGGTTTGCCAAAAAGCCTAGCACGCAGTCCCGTTTAAGAATCCCAAGAGTATCTGCACGTTACCTGGGCCAAGGACTCCCAATAACTCGGCCGACACTCCATCGCCTTGGCTGAAACGCAGTCCAAAAAACGCAGTCCATCCCTGCTGTATGGAAGAATCATGCCACGGAGTTATGGCCAAGTCCGTGGCGGGCGAGGACCCACTGCAAGGCAAAAAGATACGTGCCTCACGGACTCAAGGAGCTGTTGATGCGTCGAAGCAGAACCCTGCCCTGCCACTCAGAGAGAGGCCAACGCCACACATGGGGTCCAGCCTCAAGCGGGCGAGCGACGAACACAACCCCACGCTGGGATTCAGAGAGAACTCTCTGAGATCTCAGCGCGATCATACCCTTCGGAGTGAGGTCTGCACCTGTCACGGTATCAGGGAGCGCAAGAATTCAGAGTAGGAAAACTTCATCGCTGCAGTGTTTTCCAGCGTGCGCCTGGCTTCGCTTGTCCATTTGCAAAACATTTGTTCAATTTAAAAGCAGCCACCCACTGGGATCCTGCTGCATGCGCTTTGAACAGAAGCTTCCGCACAAGCCGCAGAACCGCACAGCACAGCTCCGCTGTACAGGAAATGGCAGGAAAAAGTTTGGCCCAAAGCAGAGCTTGCAGGCGCCTACCCGCAACGATGCAAGGAATGACATTTACATTCAAGCCAATGGACGACGCGACAATGCGCGATATTCCGATGCACGGAACGTGCGTGCGGCGATAACTTTGGCCTGCACTCAACGACCGCACCTTCACCCAGTTTCGGATAAGCATTACAGAAATCAAAGCAGCTATAAAGCAGGGGGTACAAGACAGTTCTTGCAGTAGCTCTCGTCGCACTCACTGCAGTGCCAGTGTTGTAGGCCCGGCTCGATTTCCTTGATAGAGAGCACGAACACTTCGGCGCGCAAAGATGCGAGCTCGGGCAACCCAGGAGTCAGAGGGAAGGGGGCACTTCCTTGTAAAGAAGTACACATAAGAACGACCGCAAGATCGAACCGAGTGCTTCTCCCTGCAAAACATAATCTTATTCGGTGCCGAAGCTTCGCACTCGCAGGAGCTGCAGATCACAACTTCCACAAACCCAGCGAGAAAGCCTTGCGATTGCCTCACGACGGGACACTCTCGGAATCCGTAGTCCGTGATTGAGGGGCGTTCGTGGCTGCTGTCCTTACTCAGCAACTACGACCCCAGAACAGAACCTACTGCCTAACTGAGCGCAATACCCGCACCTACTTTGGGAGTCTACTTTACTTCGGCTGGGCTCCAGTATGTCCACGAAGCGGTGACATCCTAGCTATGGGCTCGGCATGTCGCAAAAGATTACTTCTGTGAAAGCTCCAACACTGATGAAGAGCCAAGGGCATTGAAGATGTTCGCTAGCTTGATACCAGAACGATCCAGAACGGGTTCCAGGGTTCCTCTCCTTTCCTGAATGAAAGGAAACACTCTCTTGAAAAGGCTTTCCCAAGGAAGGGAAATGACCTGCATGGTTCAAACTTTCTCGCTCAGCCCCTCCCAGATGTGTCCAATACACTGGCCCCATGCCAGTACCCATAAAGACGTAGCAATGTAGGGCAGGGGGGTGTACCCAACTTGAGCCGCCACTGCCCCGGCAGCCCGAAGCACACTCACAGCCTGATAAGGTCTGGATCTCTCGGTGATGCGGTGGCTTCGACTTAATCAAGCCCTGTCTCGGGCCAGCCGTCTGCGTTTTCTGAAGACATGCAACGTATTCTGTCTAATATTGTCTCATGTTGAGGTGGGCGAGGCTACAAACGCGCACACCAATAGCCGAAACAATCCAAGCGTCAACTTGCACGAATGCTGTTGAGGGCAGGATCGTCCCTTGTAATTGGCCGAGCCCGTCGAGGGATCGAAGATGACATTGCGTTCCTGAGTCAAAACCAGTATAAAGAACTTGCAAGAAGTTCCTTCATCATTGAACCTTCCTCTAGGCCACTTTGATGCTTCGAGCCATGGCATCAACCCAGTCTGGCACGTCAGCAACGCCAAGTCCTAGGTAAGGCCACTCAGAGCACAGCAAGGCAGTTCTCGGTTCCAGAATCAACGCCGATGCCGAGAGCTCCCTCGTCCAACTAGAAGCTCCTAGCACTCATCCCTTCCTCATATACGAGTAAGTCAATTCTTTACACTGGTCCACCATGAAATGGGAAGCTCACGGTCAGGGAAACCTAAAGCGAACAAACAACGAACTAACACTTAATCTACGGCTTTGGTCTTGTTCCTGAGTGGCAGTTTTGTGTCAAATTCGTTCCTGGAATTCGTGTTTACCCGCAAACCGGAGGACCTAGCAATTTTGGCTCCTGCATGGCAGTCGCGAGGTGTGTTTTAAAGGGGCCTTAGAATCGCTTTGCTGGTTTTGGTGCCGGCTAGCCCGGGACCTGTTGACATGTGTAGGCATTTGCTAGCGCTGGGCCCGAAGTGCAAAATCATTGCGCATGTCGACACCGCCGACACCGCGTCGTCAGCTGTGCGACAGAAATTAATGCGGAAGTGTGCCTCCGGCCTCCCCCCCCTACCCGTCCGCCCTGCTTTCCCTCCATTGCTTCCGCTTTCCGCGGCAGCCGTCGTTGATGCGCCGGAAATGTCCTGCTGCTGCCTCTGGTTGTTTGTACGCGAGCATAGGGGAAAACATCGTGCAAGAATGCACGGCGTTGACTTTGGGTTTTTTGTTCCTAGCTCTTCTTTGTCTCGACCGAGTTTTTCATCCGTTGCAGCCATTCGCTGCACATGCCAGACTGGACTGCTGCACCCTCGACATCAACATAGCCCCGGTCGACTCCCGCTCTTGATGGCTTCTGTGCCGTGTTGGCATATCGTGTTATGGTTGGCAAACTGACAGCCTATACTTCGATGCCACTAGGACTTAGCTTCCCAACTGAATTTAGTGTGTAGTCTCTCTCGGGAATGAGCCTCTGCTCCCAACATCTAAAATGCAAGTCAAAAGGTCTGCTGCACATGTGCCGGCAGAAAGTGATGCAGTTCGGACCCAACACCTCGTAGTCCTGCAATATGTCAAAGCGGATGCCCTACGAATGAAAGCATGTTACTTCCGCAACTTCCGCTGCAATTATATGAACCGCACGACTCCTGTGTCAACCACTCTGGTGCCAATTCCACCATCAGCTGTTCAACTTCCTTCCAAGCAAGGCGCCAACAGGTAAGCTGATGCTCAGCACCGTAAGATCAAACAAGCGCAGCTTGTACTGCTGCTGTCCTCTGCTGACATAGTTGTCACGCCCAGACAGAGGCTTTCGCTGAAGGAATGTTTCCGACAAGACTTCGGTGTGCAGGTGGTGATCCTTGTAACAGTGGGGTATGTGCATATGTGTCGCTGGCAGACACGCGCGACTTGTCTTCAATGTAACCATGCCAAAGCTCCCGCTGCCGCCAATTCCGCACTCCGTGCCTGGTACGACGGATACGAAGAAGCTAGACTCATTGCCATCAAGAGTACCAGCAAGTAGCAGAAGTAGCATCTCACGTTCTTTGTGGCCGTCGGCCTCCAAAGGCATATTCCACGCCGTAAACCTCTACAGCAGCATGGTAGGCGCCACCGGCTCCCAGCAGCCACGTCACATTGTTGAAAATACTCATCTGCCAATTGAAGAGGTCCTTTGTTGCTTCGGGGCTCTGTGGACTTTGCAACTGCACAGAAACAGTCATCGCTGCTTGCAATACAACGTTCAAGAGTTCAGCCGCGTTGCGTACACGTTCAAACACACGAAGGACCACTTGCGATCGTGAATTTTGCTCACCAACCTTTCAACAGCGATGCAAACATACGACTCGCAAGAAAGGTCTTCACGGCAGCAGAAGACAGGCTTCGGACCTCTCGGCAGCAGACCGTATCGCCACGGCAAGGAGCGAAGCCTCTGAAGCACCTTTGCATCGCACCTGGCCACACTCATTCACACGTATCTCGTCCCAAAGGCTCCGAAGCTCTTTAGGGCAACCCGCGCTCTGATGTGTCAATCTCTTAGCGCTTCGGCTGTGTCAGGCCTGTGCAAGAGCTGCGAGGGCGATCGTTCTCCCATCCACCTGGACTGCCTGACCAGACATGAACCCTCCGCATGTATCGCAGGTCACATGACGCACAAATGTCCCTGGAAGCTCAGTCCCAGGCGGTCTTCGGCAACTCCGAAAGCCATAGCTTCATGAGCTCCGTAGCTGCCTTGGCTCACAGCCCGGCCTGAGACTCAACCAGACTCTGCGGCCGGAGCCTCAGGACCCGCGGAGATTGTGCAATCGAGAATGTCAATACCTCGGAAAGGGCCCGGATGATGGCAGGACATGCCCAGAGGCTTCTTTGCGAAGTGTGAAGTGCAACGCCGCGCCTAATGAGATGCTACATGCCGCACATCCATCATGGCACGGTCATTGTGAAGACGGATCTCGCAGGCTGTCCACGTGCTCGTGTAGTATCCAGTCCAGATCTCCGCCTTCGGCAGCTGGCATCACGCGCGAAAGCACCGCTCCGCACCATTCGCATGGACATGATACCCGTCTGTTTCTTCGGGCGGGCCTTCACTGGCATGGCAATGGGGGGTACCTTGCCCTCTTTTTTCGGAAGGACGATTTGCATGTCGCTCTTCGCAGGCGTCGGCTCTGATGCATCTGTGACCTAGGTATCCATACTAGTCTATACGACTGGCTTGGAGGACCTGCTCCAAAACCGCATGGAACACTGAAACAAACAGCATAGCTGCATAGGCTGCCGTGAGACAAGTTTGCGCGGTAGAGGAAGCAGCCATGTTCCCACCGAAGGTAAGAAGGGAAACTTGCCACCTGCGTCAGTCCATTATTCATGCAGTGGATCAGCTATCGGCATCGAACCACACAAGTGCGAGTGCCTGAATCTTGCGATGATCTTTGTCTCCGTCTCCCGGACTGACCGTGCACTGGAGGCAACGAGTCCTGACTGTCCAATTTCTGGTCACTGGAAGCTCTTTCCGAGACACATCTGTCAGCACAAGCCTACCTCGGCTACCTCGTAGACTTAGATTTTGCAGGTCAGTGAAAGACTGCAATGAAAGAGAGGAGGGTTGAATTGGTGAGACTGGTCATTCAGGGACTAAACTTCATCGCTTCGCAGATTTACTGACAAGAGGCTTCGCATGTGACGGGCTGCAAGGGCCAGGACAGCATCTCTCCTCAGGGGAAACGGCACCAGTTGCCAGTTCATCTGTGACGCACGAAGAGCCGCTGTCACCGCGCCACCTTCATCAGAATTACGACAATCTCGCCGTTCCGCCACCAGTTCGTTCATGAGCCTCGGTCGCACGAAGCAGAAGCATGGAAACGTGCAGCTTTCCTCTTTGGAGCTCGGCTTTTTACCAAATGCTGTTCTTGCAGCACAGACTTGCTCGCTCTCCGATGGCACTCGGGTGCGCTCTGTCCGTTTCCTGTCCCTGTGGGATGTGTGACGGTCTTGCCCGGTTCAACATGTTGGCGTTACCTGAGGCATGGCTTTACTAATTATGCTTCGGCTGCTCGGGTTTACGAGCGGCACAAACGTGCGTCAGATCTCTCAAGGCAGCATCGTCAAGATAGGGAACATGCAGAACAATGTGCACTCCTGGCATCACAAAGCAGACGCCGCACTTCGCGTCTAGCCCGGGCACGATCGGGCACGGGTCCCGAGCATGATTCATTGCGGATATTCACTTTGGTCGAAAGTGTTTCAAAGTTACCTGCCCCACAACTCTACCCAAAAACCAAACATACGAGGTTATTGTGAGACCTTGTAAGCTCTTACAGTCAGGCAACTGAACGTGACCCACCTGAGCTGCGCAGCATGCCTCCATGGCCGTTCAGCGCAAGGCAGACTACCAGTAAGTCGAACGTAGGCATGTTTGGTTATGCTTATGTCGCTTTTCCTTGCCCTGCCAGCTGTGCCACCATGCAGCCGCCAGCTGTTACGAAGTCGGTCTCTTTTTCCAATGGCTTGTCTGCATCTATGCGGCGCAAGAACTCTCCTCCGATTAGGCAAGTTGCCAGCATGCTTAGACAAGTAGTGCGAGAACCATACAGGTGGCTGGAGCAATCGTGGCTGCAGCGGGCGGCAAAGCGAATTCGAATCAGTTCTCCTCGAACTGCGTGAGCCAGATCTAGCCTCGCCGCAGAACTGCTGATGCCATTTGTGCAAGGCACAAGGCCACCGTGTCGTCGGCACGCGACAGCAGATCTCCCTTCAAGCAGCGAAACCATGCGTGTGTTGAGCGTGGCCTATTGAGGGCTATAGAGTATCCAAGCTTGCAAAGCTGAAACGAGGCATCTGAGTCAGGCAGTCTCGCCTTCTGAACGCTGAACGGCACGCGACAGCACCCCGTTCTCGAACAGCGTAGGCCCAACACGAGCCTCGGCGTCACCCCCAGCACCAAACACCGTGTGCAGCTACGCCAACTTGATCTCTGTGCGACTGGCAGCTCTGGGCCCTTTCCGACCAGATCAGCTCTGGCAGCTCCAGCCGCGACCGCCAGTTCGTCGACCTTGAGCGACCGGATTTGCAACCTCTCACTCAGGGCTTCATATAGGCAGCCGTCTAGGACCCCTCATATACCGCGAGACAAAAATCCAGATGTAGGAGTAGGCGGTGATGGCACACATGTGCCATGCCATCAGCAATCTGGGGCATGGGCACGACTGAGCAAGAGGGACGGCAACACCGTCATCTTGCCGGTCAGTCCGGAGAGTATGAGATGAATTTGAGTGCAATCTTAACGACCACCCAACATCCCACAACTTCCGAGTCCCTCAACCACTTGTAAGCAACTCATGCAGTAAGCGCGCCGCACCATCTGAGACGAAAGCCATGACCTGTGCCATCAAGCAGTGTGAGCGGCTTTGGTATGCAAGGGATCTGTGCTGGGCTGATAACCTCAACATCGTAGTCGACGAGGTTCACCTGCGCGACAGGTGACCAGAATTGGCAATCGACCGTCATCATACTGCTTGGTAGGCCCACTTTTTTGCTACTGCTGCTGCTCCTGCATTAGTCCAACCAAGTTGAAGCTGCTGCTGCAGCCGCTTTCTCTTCGTTCTGCCGTTGCTGCCTGGCTGCAAGCATGGAGTCATATGGAGTCTCGAACCTCACGCGGCTTGCACGCTGATAGGGGTATCCTTCAACAATGGAAAGTTTCTCCGGCCTGACTGGATTTCTGGTGGTCTGGTGGGATTTGTTTTGGTTCCCCTTCCAAAGAAAAGCAAAACGGTGTTGGCAAGCAGGGGTCCTGAAATTCTTGTTGGTTGCATATAATGTCTGAACTGAAGATGTGTATCTGATGGGCAGTTCGAGACATTGAGCGATAGCATTCAGAGCAGCTGAAGCCGCATTTTGACGCTTTGGGGGAAGACCTTGTGCCTGGAACGCCCTAGCTTTGGAGAGCCCGGCTCTGAGCTGCAGGGCCAATCACAGGACCTGTGGACCTGTGGATATCACCTGTCGCCAGACAGATACTGTAGGGCTTCCGAAATCCCCCGGCCCTCAATGGCCATGATGTACCGGCCTTTGGTGGCCTAGACAGGGAAGCAGCACCCGAGGCTTCCAGGCTGGTACTAGCATAACCTACGGCGACGACGACAGAACTACCACCACGGCTACACTAACCTGCTCCTCCTGCCGCTACCACCACCACCGGCCACCACGACAACGACAAGGAGCACGACAACGACGACGGGACGACAATGACGGCTACTGGTACTGGTACTGGTACTGGTACTGGTACTGGTACTGCTACTCCTACTCCTACTCCTTCTCCTTCTCCTGCTACTGCTGCTACTACTACTACTACTACTGCTACTACTACTACTACTACTACCATTGCTACTACTACTACTACTACTACTACTACTAGCTATTAACTACTAACTACTAACTATTAACTACTAACTACNNCTACTGGTACTACTGGTACTACTGGTGGTACTGGTACTGGTGCGAGTACTACAGTACTGGTAAAGTGTGACGGGAATCTAGAACGCTTACTTGAGCAAGATTGCCATTGCAGTCTTGGTCTAAATGCTAAACTATGGTAAACTAGTCTGCGAGCAAGTGAGGCAAAATGACTAAGATTGATACATTGTGGTGGCAATCTTGTTTTTCGACCAAAATGACCTAGACCGCAAGATTTGCAAAGCACAATGTAGTAGTACAAGTACTACTAGTACCAGTACTAGTGCTAGTTCTACTACTCCGCTTCCTAATCCCACTCCTACCGCCACTCCTCCTCCTCCTCCTCGCAGCACTACTACTGCTGCTGCTACTACTACTACTACTACTACTACTACTCCTACTCCTGCTACTCCACTACCCCTACTACTCCTGCTACTCCTGCTGCTCCTGCTACTGCTACTGCTACTGCTACTTCTACTGCTACTGCTA